GAGGTGCACTTTTCCAGCTCATCCAACAGGTGATCAAACAAGGTTGTTTCCCTGGGTTGTTCTGCCACGGGAATTGCGGTCAGCACGTAAACGTACTTCTCCCGAAAGGCATCCAGGTCAGCAAGGGACGGGCCTGCAAGAGACAACTTTAACAAGTTGCGACCTCCTAAGGTTCCGAGCCTACCTCGTTCTAACTGAAAGTGCTTGAAGATAGCACGCAACATGATTCTCCCTACGGGCATCCCACCTGACGAGATTCTCTCTTGTTCAACCATATTCTGAAACAAGAGCCCGAACTTACCTTTACGGCAGGTTTTAAGGAGCTTTGCGGCTACTTCACGATCTAACCGTGGGAAACGCTTGTCCGCGATGAGTTCTTGCTCGGTGGAGGACATGCATGCTTGGGCCCACTGGTAAACTTCATCTCCGGGGGTCTTCTGGAGTCGACCGATGGCCATCAAAACTTGGTTGACGAAACCTCTAGCCTGTCCAGCGTTCTCCGGAGGGGATGGCAACACGAGATCCTTGAGGTCCTTGACGCGAACAACGGATTCCTCATGTGCAGCGTGATCTATGACGGTCATGCCTACACTGGGATCGGCAGCTTGAGATGGGTCTGCATTGGGGAACTGGCCAGGGCCTCCCCCACCTCCCCCACCACCATTCATGGTGAGGTATGGGCAATCCGTGTCTTCATGGCTGCCGCCGCAAACTCGACATTGTGGGGTATCATCATCTCCATCAGAGTCTGATGATGTGTCGGAGCTTGCTGCCGATGGCGCTTGTGGGGATGACGAGTACCACCCTCCCAACATTGTGATTGGTACTGGCGGAACATGAGTGCCATTGCCAGCTTTCGGCGGAGGCGGCGCCCCAGAAAGGGGCATGGGAGGCACTGGAGGTGGTGCGGCCGGAGGCGGAGGTGGCGGAGCCACTTGATTAGCAACCAATTGGGAAAGCTGCTGAACCATTTCCGCTAAAGCCGTCACTTGCACTCTCACGTCGGCTTGATCCCTTGGACCGTCTCTACCCAACCCGCTAGTCCTCGACGCGCCGGGGGCTGCGTCTCCAACAGAGGACGCTGCTCCTAGCACTGCCGAATGGCCTACGAGATGTTGACTTGTTGCACCCCCACCAGGGTCCCTTGAATCAGCTGGGGCATCGTGACCAAGTCCTGAACTTTGAACAGAACCACACGGAGGGTCGGGGATAGTACTTGTAAAAGCATTCCCTTGCGACGATGCGGCAACACCGGAGGCATCTTGTGAACCTGAAACCTGAGGTGCTCCAACCGGCTGATGGGTTCCTGGGGGAAATGTGCCTTGACTTGAGGCTTTAGCCGCGCTTGTTTCCGTAGCTGTTTCGGCTATTGATGCGGCTTTTGGCGGTGACTCTTGCATCGGAACAGGGGTCGCACGAGCTTGTTGGGTGAGCTGCGCAACAACACGTTCGAGATCACCAAGTCGTTGATGCATCACAGAATTTTCCTGGGACAATCCACGAATGGTATGCTCTTGACTGGCAATGGTTTGCTCCCTTTGAAGGATTGCCTGTTGAGCCTCTGGAACAATGCGTTGAACCTCTTGCTGAGCGTCCTGTTGAGTGGCATTAACAACCTGTCGTGCGTTCTCGACATGGCCTAAGGCTTCCTGTCGTGTCTGCTCAATGAGTTGCCTAGCCTGAGCCTCACTTTGTTGTGCTGTTTGTACAGCCTGCTGTGCTTGCGAAGCTAGCTGAGCGGCCTGAACCCTAACGTCTGAAACTTCTCTTACAGCCCTTTCCCTGATCCATCCGGCCTCTTGTCTCGCCTGATCGGCGGCCTGCTGTTGGTGCAAGGCGTGATTGGCTGCCTGAGCAGCGAGGTCGGATGCTCGATGAGCTTGCTGCACCGCAGCTCCAGCTATAAATGCCGCAGCGGGTACGTTAGTCATCGGGTCAGGTAATTGCGATCCCTGTGAAGGAAACTGAATGGCTGGGGAAGCTTCGGATGATGTCGGTTCTGACACGATCGGACCACTCGGGGGTGATGATGGTCGTGTTTGGGCTGCTCGTTGAGGTGTGGATGTGCGAACTGTGGACATAACTGCAGGAACCATGGCTAGGTCAGGGTCATCCGGTTCAGAATCCCTATTTGGGGTTGACCTTGAACGGGGTTCTGATGGCGGTGATAAGCCCGTTGAAGCCATGACACAGCAATGCAACTTTTGCACTCACACGAAGCTAGCTCCACGCGCTTTGAGCAGCGTGTCAAAAGGTGCTACGAGGAGATATCCCTGGATTGTCAGCTGGTTGCGAAACGCTCAAGTGAGCCACTCAAGAAAATACGTTGCGAAACGCTCAATCAGTGAGCCACTCAAGAAAATACGCCCTGCTGCTTTGCACCTGATGAATTCTGTATTTGTAATTGTACTTGTATATTGATTGATCCGCACTGCCGCACTATGGTGCTTTATCGAGGGATGTTGCCAAGCTGTATTGAGAATTTGTCTGCAAATCGAATGCCTGTAACTGCAAAAGCTGTACCGCGCAAAGCGACGGTTTTAACGGCTTGCAACAATGGCTATCGAAGTACCCGGCTGGCGGGCAACTGGGATGCAGATCGGTGGAGCTCCTCGAGGTACTGCGATGGATGCAGGCCCCTTGCCGCCGGAATGAATTGTCTGTTCCGGGATTCAATGAACTCACCGAGGTTCTCAAGTGCGTTGGCAAATCCTCCCGGCCCGAAGTGCGGGAAGTTGCGGAACGCCGCGATGCCTGTCTTTTGAGCTTCACGGACAATCGATGCTGTATCGTCAATAAGGGCGTGAACGCCCAGCCCTTGAAGGGCGTCTGCTTTGCCTCCCCTACCCAACCGTTCGTGAACGATTTTTATCGCAGAAAAAGTGAGTCCAGATGTCGTCCGCGCGTGCTCCAGGGCGACCTGGAACTCGCGGCGGCGATACTCGCTTGCAGCCCTGCCCACGAAGGATAGCACTATAAAATTTATAGGTGCGTAGTCCGCTGCAAACTGAACGAGATGTCGGATCACTTCCGGGTTGAGGTGGGGTCCCTGCTGCCCAACGTCAAGAACTCCGTGCCAGTCAAGAGCAACAACAAGCTCCTTGGGCGGCACCGGCCTTCCAGGCGGAGGTGGTGGCGGCGGGGGCGCAGGCGGTGCCCTCCTTGGTGGCGAGCGGAATCGCGAGCCAGCTTCGGAAGTTGCAGCGCTAGCAGCAGCTGCTTGAACGACCTGCGGAGGTGGCGGCTTGACGATGTACCCGAATTGTGGCGGGTTTGAGCTCGATTTGCTTCTGGGTTCGGCCTTGTTCAAACCTCGCGGAGGTGCCTTGTACCCGAATGCACTCTGAGTCCGAACTGGAGATCTTGCCCGTGGCGGTGACTTCCTCGGAATATCTGCTTTTGCCGGCACCGAAGAAACTGCCTTGGGGATCTCCTTGGGCAATGTGGGCTTGCTGCCAAAGATGACCTTGGGTGCGGCCTTTGGAGGCGGCGGTTGAACTGCCCCAATTCTCCGGCTGTGCAGCGCGATGGGCTCGGAGTGAGTCGGCGCCTCGTAAACGCGCCGAGGCACGTATGCTGCCCTGCCCGTCCTGATGGACTCCGCGTCTTGCGGTGGTTCCTCGTCCGAGCTGTAGGCGTCGAGGCGGAAGTGCTCCGCCGGCGCCGGGCGACGGTCAGGAGACCGTGAGCGCGAGCTCGTGGAGGACCTTCTTGGGGGGTCCCTCCACGTCTCGTCCGCGAGCAGGTACGGATCGGCTTGGCGAAGCTGCCCAGACGTCCGTTGTGCTCGCCGATGAGGCGCCGCCTCACGTGGCTGTGAAGCCTCCCGAACCAATACCGGTGCCGTGTTCGTCAAACCTCGTCACAGGGTAGATGCTATTCTGTGGAGCCAAAACGATGGGCCGTGTGGCTAGGGAAGTCCTGGATGGCCCCGTTGACCCACAGGGGTAGCAGCAGTTGGTCCTCGTCTCGGAGTCGATGATGGAGACCTCGACCTTCGGGGCGATGGGGACCTCGATCTTTGTGTTGACCGTTCCCTGCTGCTCTCCCGCCGCGTTTCCGCAGCTTTAGCGTACACCCCGCGAAGAGTTGACTTTGCGGCTTGTCTTTCCTCTGCAGATGGCCGAATACGAGGCAAAGGAGTGCGCGAGTCTTGCAACCAGGAGGAAGCTGATGGAGGCGTCGGAGGACGAAGCCAGTCCGCTGCACTGCTCACTGCTCCCGCCGCGCTGAGGCTGCGGCTTGATCCTGAGATGGCACACCTTGCGGCAAGACCACACCTGTGGTTTCAACCAATGCGAGACGCTGCTGATAAGCGTTGTCCGCGGCCTGGATCACGTCGAAGGCTTCTTGGTCAAAATTCCACAGGTGCCAACTATCCAGTGACTCACGCCAGGAAAAGAGCGCCTCGACCTGTTGCTTCGAGGCGTCCGCAAACCTGATCCACCGGAATCGTCTGTTCTGCCGCTTGTACTCGTCGACGACGATCTGTTGCAGAGTGTTGTACAATCGGGCACGCGGCCCTTTCCCACCGCGTGTGCCGCGGTGAGGGCCGACTTCCATGTGCGACCAACAGGTCGCAGTCACGGAAGGGTTTGTTTACCCGAAAAGCGTTACGGCTGATAACCACTCAAAGGGGAGGGAAACACAGTTTTGTCAACAACGGGGGAACCCGGGACCTTAAAAGGAACGAACCCCTCCGTGACTGCGACCTCTCCCTTAACCTTGGGGCTAGCGCGGTGCAACGCGCTGTTTTCAGCACTTGAGCCAAAGCAGTGATTGGATCATGCTCTGGCATTGACTTGAATGTACAACATGCAACTGACTACATGAGAACCTACCGCATGTACCTCTGGGCCATAAATGTCATCGTGATAATTGACTGTTTCAACACCAACCTTAGGGTGCCACGATCTTATTCTTCAAACTCATGTCTGCCCATGTCCGATGCTTGGCCTCTCTCAGTGACACGGCCAGCGGCTTCGGCGAGATCTCCGCGCCTTCTGCGAGACGAATTGCTGCGCTGCCTCCTCGTCAAGCGCGTCCTGCACTCAGCACGGGGAAGACAGTTGCAACCAGGGGGTGACCCGAATGGAAGAATGCGGGAGAACCAATGTTGGCGTTGAGCGGATTCATTGTGGGGAATCCACGTTTAAAAAAAAGGACAAAGGGGGCCACGAAACATGGGAGGAAACGCACCCCAGGAAAGGTGGGCAAAAGCCGAAACCCAGCTGATCGGTGTTTGGCCGCCAGGTAACCCTTCACCACTTTATTTTTGGGCCTGGCATCTTTGGTAACCCAAGGGGTCTGCCGTGCTTGCCCTAGCGCGGCAGGACCCCTTGGTTACCAAAGTTGAGAAGAAACGGAGAATCTTTGACAAGGGCTTACAGCTTGGTTGCTGGAACGGTCAAAGAGACGGGGGGTGCATTGAGGGTCCAGCTTGGCAGGAGGGCACTATTGGGCTCCAAGGCGCCTCGATCAAGGGGAAGTATGCCGCCAGCGTCTCACGCGCCTGCGCCAGGTGTATGCTAGTAGCCTTCATAGGGTCCCCCCCCTTCCTTCCTTGCTTGGACCTTCTGTTGCGCAAAGAGGATGGACGTGTGCACCCAGCCAATTGCCAATCCAATGGGCGTACACTTGCAAAACATGACGCCTTTCCAAGCTTTGAATTCATTCAGGAAGGCAGGCTGCAGCCTCAAGCGCAACATCAGCCAATTGACATTTAGCCCTCTACCACAATTGCAATGACCGCCAAAAAATCGGAACACCTTCCGGAACGGAAACGGAGACGCGGAAACCGAAGCCTGGAAACAAAGCAGCAACGCAACAACAACGACAACACAAGGCCGTTCTTCTTGGGCGGCATCAAGCTCATTTTGCCTAGTTGCACTTGAGTTATGCGGGCGTCTGCTGGCTGCACCATGTTTGCTGCCGGCCCAACAAGTCTGACAGCCGCCCGACACCAAACCCGAAGTCCTTATCCTGCTGCGCAAAAAGGTGCCGTAAAGAGATTGCGAACACATATTAAGATATTGCACTCTAACGTGCGTCGACTGCAAATCGAAACCTGGAACCCCACGCACACACACACACACACATACACACACACACACACACACATACACACCCTCAACCAAAACCTGAAACCGGAAACTTGCTTCTCCCGCCCCGCTCGAGACATGACTTGTGGTGATCCAAGCAGTCTGTACGAAATGTGGGCTGGTGGTCAAACGAAGTCTGGAGCGAACATGTTGACATCTGTCCTGGAGGCTTCCATTCAGCTTCGTCCTTTCGCAGCGGCCGGCCTTTATGTACCCCTCAGCCACCCTTCCGGAAAATAGAGTAACCCTGTGTCATGTTTACAAAGTCAGGGGAACTTGGAGTAATCTTACCCTTCGTGTGATTAGGGGTAGCTAAGCAGCTCCCCCGTTTTCCGGGTCCCTAGGCTTGGGTCGAATCCGGTAGCCCTCGCCTGCGGGGCATCCTTTAGCTCCCATAGGCCCGGCAGCCCCTCCGGCTTGCCGCCCTCCTTGAAGTTGATCAGGGCGCAGGCCCCGCCTCACTCGCCAAGTCGCCCTCACCGCCTTGAGACTACTTGGCCAGATTGGCGGATGTTTTTCTTTTGCTTGGTTGCTTTGCTTGAACCTGGCATTGTTATTACTTCTTACTTTTTGACTCAGGGCGGTCGATTGCTTGACTTTTGTGATCCGCGCAAGGATTAACAGGAAAAACACATGCCACCGTTTTGGCTGCCAATGTAAAGTGAAAGCTGAGCTGGTAATTACTCATTCTCTCCGCAGGTGGACCTTTCCTAAGCCATGCCCCCCCTGACCCCCCCCCCCCCCCCGTTTTTTGCCAAATGGACCATGTTTTTCACATCGCCCGCCGCGCCGGCGGGGCGACGGGACCGCGGGGCGGCGCCTGCCGTGGGCTCCACGAAGGCGGAGCTGCCGCCCGGGCCGCCGATGGCGTGCACCGCGGCGGCGTCCAGCGACTTCGGCATCCTGCGACTTCGGCTCGAGCCCTCGATCCGTTTCTCGGGTCGGGCACGCGTGTGGCGTGTGGCCATGGAAGGCTTGAAGCAGGAAGGTGTGCGTTGGAAGACATCCAACTTCACGATTTGGCCGGAAAAGAGTGGAACGCTGGAACGCGGGTAGCTGCGGTAGACCCATCTGCTTTCATTTCGGGTGCAAATCCAAAAGACCGAGAACAGGTGACATCCATTTCTTCTGGATGGCGAGCCGCACCCGCGGACGTGGGTTTCAAATGGGTGACTCGAAAGATTGCGATTCCGTCTTTCTGATTTGTCCTCAAGCCAAATCCTTGAAAAGACGTGTCCCGAAAGGACACCACCAAAAAGGGCATGGTTTTGAAAAACACATGGTTTTCCTTTTGTTGGACACGATCAAAGAGGCAGGCCCTTCTCGAGGAGACATCCCAAGCGCAAGTGGTTTTCCTTTCGAGGTCCACTTAAATCAACCACAAAAAAGTGCCCTCAAACATACCCAAAGGGTCCAAGTACTCCATGTTTGTGCTTTTGGGTTTGGTTCAGCGGAATTCGTGAAATACGGATATTGGACCCAAACATTACGGGGGATCACGAGTTGTCACATGCCTCACTTGGAGCCCAAATGGCACTTCCAGGATTCTATTTTGTTGACTAGCCCGAGATAGATTTAAACGGTGGTTGTTTTTTCAAGGGTAGTCAAAAACTTGCTGGTGCTTAGGGAATGAACCCAGGCTTTGGTCCCTCAAAGGAAACCAGGAGGATTTTCCTCGGGGTCATTCCATTTCTCATTTCCTGCATCTCTCGCACCGATCGCTAGAAAAGGAAGAACCGGTTTTGGGGATACATGTCCCAGGTGTCCCACAACAAACTGCCTTTCGGATGGTGAGAAATCATCTCTACGCTTGGTATGGTAGCAAAAACTTTGATTTTCTTGCAGACCCCCAGTTAAAAATGAACAGAACCTAAAAAAAACAAACACACAAACAAAACTTGTTCCATTAGCACGGCATCCCACAAGCTCAGAATCTGAGTGCCAGGCCTGAGTTAAGAACTGCCATCAAAGATCTGTCTGCCCATTAATCATTCGACCGCCACTGTCACATGCTGCTGTAAGACAACCACGCACTGGTGCAGTTCTCACACCACATCTGACATGACATCTGGAAGTGGGATTTATCAACTTCATGGTGAGAGAACACACCACACGCACCAAAGGTGACCCTGGAAGGTGAAGAAAGCTGGGTGGCACAGATGAGGGTGCAAAAGCCAGCATCCATATCCTTCTGACATGCTCAAAGGGAGGGTGGGATGGGTCAAAAACGATCCAGGGATGGCACTTGAGCACAAAGTGCCACCGATGGGAATGGTTGAAGAGACATGTGTTGAGCTCGATGCTGCAGTAAAAGTTTTGCTCCAACACACAAGCTGTGTTGACTACAAAACTTGTTCCATTAGCACGGCATCCCACAAGCTCAGAATCTGAGTGCCAGGCCTGAGTTAAGAACTGCCATCAAAGATCTGTCTGCCCATTAATCATTCGACCGCCACTGTCACATGCTGCTGTAAGACAACCAAAACATCGACCCTCCAATCAGAGCATGTCTGCACCAACTGCTTTGTGTGCACGCACTGGTGCAGTTCTCACACCACATCTGACATGACATCTGGAAGTGGGATTTATCAACTTCATGGTGAGAGAACACACCAAAACCAGTGAGGAACACCAAGTGTACAGTGCAGACATGCCAAATTATGGACGGGAACTTGGGGGGCAATACTGCGAGATGGGGGGAGACCGAGGCGCTGGGCAGCGCGCGTGTTTTCCCCTTTCCTGCCATGAAAGGACTATGTGTCCTTCTCAGAGTCTGAATCTCTCATGGTGAATTCAACAGCTTCGCGCCTGTCCAAGGCGGATTTTGTCAAATATGTCAGAAAGGCGCCTGACCTCCACCCTCCTGCTCGCAAAATCAATGACAGCGGGGACCCTTTGTCAAGCATGTCAGAGGCCATGCCTCGTCGAAAAGAATGCCACCCTGGCCACTCAATGCGCGCTGTTTCACAGCAAGCACGGAACTTCTGCGTGGCCTCATGCAAATTGAAAGGCCAGATTGCAACATTGGGGCGAGAATCTTGAGCGGAAGCCACCTGAAGCTGCCTTGCCAACGCACATGCGCAGCAAAGAATGTCCAGCGTGCTTTTGCAAGAGCACTGACGAATCAACTTGGCGCCCTGGGGCATGTTCTTTCTTGAACGAAGAGTCACCTCCACGCGGCTTCCCTGCACATGGACCTTGGAATGCCACGGCGTGGCTGCGCGTTCGTCTGAAGACAGACCATCAGCCTGCAGAGGAATGAGCTCGTTGGCAACCCGGAAAAGAAAGCCACGTGCCACCACAAATAATCTTGCAAGGTCGAACCAGCCATTCTGCATTGCAGCTTGGACTAGAAGGATGACTTCCCGTTGCCTAAGACGAGGAAGCTCTGCCCTTCTTTTGTCTTTTCGAGCGCCTCGCAAAAGCTGATTCCATCTGAATATCGGAATTGACGGCTCGCGGCCCAGAACGCGCAAGATTAAGCGCACATGCCCAAGATACTCCCTCAGGGTGTCAGGATTCCGGAACTGTTGTGCGAATGCCCCCACCATTTCCAAATTGACGTCGAAGGGGTCGTTGAAAGGGAACAGGCCATGCGCGAGGATCCCCCAAGCCCAAAGCCCCGATCGAACACTTTTCCAAGATCCTCGAACCGAAGTCAGCATGGTTCTGACAGCAGACTCCAAAGCCAATGCCCCCGGAAACCGCCAGGTCGCCAAGTTGATGGGCGAGGGCTTGCCGCTCTGCGCGGCGGCCTGCGCCTGCGTGGAACAAGCTGCCCGCAAGCGCTTGGCAGGCGGTTCGTCCCAAGCAGGGGCGCCCGCTGTAGGCCCGCCTGGGCCAAACCGAGGCAACAAATAAGGGCAATCTGATTCTCTGCAGCGCTCCTGGAAGGAGTGTATCCCCAAACATGTTGCAGAAAGACATTCCACTACTCGAGGTTCATCGAAATATGCCTCCAGCGCCAATCCTGCCCCTGCAGCAGTAATTGGCCCTTGACAAGCCAGAACTTCCAGCCAGGAGCCTTGTCGGCACAGCGAAGCGAAGTCTGCCCATGTTTTGAGAGGCCCGTGCGCCACCTCAAAGACTTTACTGGGAAGAAATCTGGTCGGAGAAGCAGCAACAGGGTGAGAAGTTCTGGCGCTGGTTCGGCATGCTGTGACGGCACGCGCCGTTCCGGGAAATTCGACATCCAGCCGCGCGATCGCGCGGTCCGGGAGTTCAGAGAGCAAAACCGCACGGCCGTGCACTATGGCCTCCAACTTTCTTCGGCAATCATGGCCATGATGAGGCACCAGCGACACCGGCTCCGTAAGTGGGGCTGATGGCGACCATTGGCTCTTGAACCGCTGCATGCTACCCTTTGGGGGGTCATTGGACATGCAAAACGCAAACTGCTCACTTCGTGCAAAGGCCCCCCCCCAAAAAAAAAGAAGAAGAAAAAAACACAGAAAAACCCCAAAAAACGTGCAAATCGTACACTCAGCAAGTCAAGTTCAGTTTTCCTCGCGCACCCTTGCCTCCTGTAACCTGCGCGCTATAGATTCAAAGCGGACACGCCACGGCATCTGAGTGCCAAGACTTGCCGAGCGGCCCCTTGAAGGTCAATCAGCTATGTTGAGTTTAGAGGGCACGTAGCGGAAAAAGACCTGTGTGCAAGTTGAGGCCACTTGACTCCAGAAGATTTCCACCAGTGCCTGCATGTCCCAGCTGGAGCTGGAACCCTTGCGCAGAGCTCCCAGCGCAGACTGATTGTCCACAAAGAGCACTGCCCGACAACCATTGAGCTGACGCGCAAAAATGCGCGCAGCGCAGACAACCATCAGCGCCTCATAGATGCAGATCTGCGTGCGCCGGGCCTTCAAGTGCTGGCGCAAGAAAGTAGGGACCGTTCCAGAAACCCACCGGACTGTTGAGCCCACGAAAACAGCACCCAGACCTCCACTTCCAGAAGCATCTGTGTAAATGAGAACCGGCTCTTGCTGAGGAAATCGCACTGGCCGCGTGACGCCACTCAAGCACTGCAGCTCGCGCGCCCACCATTCCAGATCGCTGATTGCCTGCGGCAGCAAGGGCGCCTTCCACAGGCGCACCTGCTGGTGCAAGCCTCTGAGGTGGCAGCGCGCGGCTGGGCCCCACATTGCCCAAGCCGCGAAGCTGAGACGGCCAGTGAGCTTACGCAGCCCGACCAAATCGACATCGCCCTCGTTCAAAGTCCGGGACACCTCCTCGACCCAAAGCGCAGCTTTCATAGGCTCTGGCGAATATTGCAAGGAAACCCCATTGTCAACGAGGGCGACCTTAATGCCCAAAACAGTCTGGCATGAGGATGGCGCTGGTGTTTTAGATTCCTCAAGAGTGAAGCCCAACAGATCGATGCACTCCAGTGCTGCGAGCCGACACTCCGCAGATGCTGCCACGAAATCCACCCAGAACAAATCGTCCACATACCGGACACACGGTATGAGAAGAAATTCCTGCAAGATTGCAGCGAGGGCAGCGCCCAGCCGATCCCACGCATACACGGAGGCCACTGCCCCAAATGGCATTGCCAACTGTGTGGCAATGAACAGCTGGCCACCTGGATTTCGAAGCAGTACCGATGCTAGTCCCAAGTCGGAGCCAGCCAGAGGCAGCGAACGATACGCGGCTTTAAAGTCTGACTTGAGCAAGGCCAACGGCTCCTTGGTGTCGGCCAAAGTGCGGGTCACAGCTTCCAGGTCTGTAAGCCTGCCCATGCGGATTCGCCGGCTCACACTGGCGGCATCATTGACACCTGATTCCTTGAAGTCGTCAATGCATCGGACTTTGTCGGCCCCTTTGGAGTTGATTTGGCGCACACCGAACCGCCGAGTAACAACCTTGGGGCTGCTGTCGAAGGCAGGCTGTGGTGAGGTCATGCGCCCAAGAGCAGCCTCCTCCAAAGTTTGACTCCAAATTTCAGCATCTAAAGCGCCTGCCCGGGAATGCCGGCGAAGTTGGCGTGGCCAAGCGGCAACGCCATGAGACTCCAGCTGACTCCTGGTGAGGGAAGCCTGGCGCACATCTGCGCGCGGGGCTTCACTGTCCACGGGAAGATCACCAATGAGTGGGAAACCCTGCTGCAAATGAAAAATAAGGTCTTTGTCGCTCCAGCCTATCTGTTCCAAGCACCACTCCAGCAAGCCCAGATTCGGGCCCGACCGGCCGGCTGCTGCCAGGACCTGACGAGCTTGAGGGCTGGCCTCCTGCAACAGAGTTTGCGACCTCGGCAACAATGCGGCGGACTGCGCCCGCAAATCCCGCATTGCGCGCGAGCGAATCTGAGCAGCTGCCGATGGCCCCAGAGTTGCAAGGCGAGCAGCCACCTTGCTAAGACGCCTTGGACAAGAAGGCGGAGCCGTGATTGTCTCGAAAGCTGCCTTAGCGGCTTTCACATGCAGAAGCTGAGCTGATCTCAGCGAATCGGCTGCCGAGGATGCTGGAATCGGAACATGGAGCACTGCGTCGTGGCCGCACGCCGCGCCTTCCAGCACAGTCTCTGAACAGGATGAGTGTTCAGACGAACAAGACTGCGTGGTTTCTGAAGAAAGGCCGTTTTCCAGACAGGGCGTGGTCAGAGACTCCAATACACCCTCCATGGATTGAAACTCTGGAAATCCCTGGTGTAGCTGGAGAGGCCGACCCCCAATCACCCACGCCAACCAAGAAGACAAAATCTGCTGCGCCACAGGGACAGCAACTGAGCTGCCAGTGACCTGCATGTGCTCCAAGCAAAATGTGACAGCCAAGTCGCCAGGCAGGGCTGAAGCGCCCGCCGGGAACCCCAAAGACTTGTCGCGCTCCGTGCCCGAGAGGGGGCGCACCACACGCCCGCCTGCGCCCGCATGAATCCACCGGGCGAGCTCGAGTCGGCTAAGCGACTGGCCGCCATGGCCTGAGCCCAGACAAGAACGGACTTTGTCCTCCAAGGTCGTCTTCTCCTCCACAGACAAATTGGTCTTGTACACCAGACCACGTCGACTGTAGCAGTGCAAAGGCAGCCGTGGGAAACACGCGCGTTCAGAGTCCATCTCCCGCGCGCAACTCTCTGGAGACGACTGGCACAATGAAGCAAATCGCATGTCCACGGCCACCTTTCCTGTTGGGAATTCCCACAAAGGCCGCCAACCATGCTCCAACACGGACGCTGCATCAACTGATGTGGCTTGCAGAGGTGAGACCTGCAAGTTGGTCCAGTAGCAGCGGTCCTGTTCGGCGGGCAGAACAAAAGACGCTCTCATTGGATGCGGCTGGACTTGCAATGTGGCTGAAATAGCTGCGTGCCGCCCTGGCTCGCTGTCGCCCTCCAGCATGAAAACAATGTGAACATGTGGCAGAGCTGCCTTCAGCCTTGGCAGCAGGAAGGGAAGCATGCAAAGATTGTGGAGGTGGGTGTCTGCCCCGGCCTCTCTGACGCATGGTGAATTTTGCGCAAGTAAAAGGGAACGAAGAGAAGGGAACTGCGCGCGGAACGAGATGAAAGAGTCAAACTGCTCCAGAAGCACCAAGGGTGATCCAATGATGCCCCGGGAGTCAGCCATGTTTGACAACCACACTCCACGCCGAGTGTGGTGATGGACAAGAAGCCTACGGCATCGATTGTCCACTTCGAAAAATAAATGGTAGACCTTGCTCCCGAGCAACGTTTCGATACCTGAATCCAGCATAGCCTGCAACAAGCCGCCCATGCCAGAGAAAAAATCAAGCACCAAATGTTGTACCGAGGCAAAGTGAAAACTCTGAGGCCAAAGGCCAAACGAGGAGGGCTGTGCGTTGACGCACTCCCTGGACCCCTCCTCCCCTCGAGGCCCAGGAGGCATGTCTGTTCATGGCCTGTCAGCCGTTTTTGGCCGCTTGGCCTTGTAGGCCTTGAGTGCCGCTGCATAGCGCCTGGCTTGCTCGGGATCGGTGGTGTCCAAGTGATGCAACTTGCAGGTTGCCCTGTCTGCACATGTGAGCCCGTTGGCCTGGTCATGCTTGAAGCAAACTGGCTGCCGAGATGGGGGCGCCGGCCGGGCCTCCTTTGCCTCACTGTTGGTGACGCGAGGCCGCTTGGCATCCCTCGTGTCCCCAGCCGGGATGGCGAAGTCATCATGTTTGCGACCCTTGGAGTGTCAAAAACGATCCAGGGATGGCACTTGAGCACAAAGTGCCACCGATGGGAATGGTTGAAGAGACATGTGTTGAGCTCGATGCTGCAGTAAAAGTTTTGCTCCAACACACAAGCTGTGTTGACTAAAAAAAAAAAACAGCATGCCAAGAGCAGTGAAGACATGCAAAAACCGTCCACAACTTCCACCAGGTCTTGGCCAGCCACCCCCCCGGCCGCCTCGGGAAGCGCAGCACCTTGAACCGCCCGGGCAGCTTGGCCTCCTCCACCTGAACACCCGGGGGTTTTTTGCGGCGCCCGAGAACCCGATGGAAGGAGAAATGGGCTAAAAACACCTGAGGGTTTGAGTTTTTTTTTTGTGGTTTTAATGCAGCTTTCATGGTGTGCTTATAGTGGCTGGAAGTGACATAATTTCTTCTTCTTGTGGTTTTACAGTGGTTTAACCATAGCTGCGTTTTGTTGCGGCATTGTGAGTGGTTTTGCAGTGTAAGTCTTATAATGAAATTGCCTGCATTCATGCTTTTCATAACGACCGTTCCCAAAGGGGCCTGATTATTAACACGTAGCTGAAGAGCCACATTTCTACATTGCAGTCGACTACAGTCGTTTTAAATGCTGTTGACCTGCGGTCCCCCCTTTGCAAATCGCGTGCTGACACTTTCTGATTATTAGCATGGTCGCCGTTGACGACCTCGGCCGATGGTACCTCCAAAGCCCAAGTCCCACAATCTGGAGTGTGGACATCTAATCCTTCCAGTGCGCGCCTTATGTAACAAGTTGTCACCAAAAGGGCCACTCGCCAAGCTCGCCATTGAGATCCCATGGAACAAGCAAGGCCAAAGAGTTGCAGCGAGCGAAACCAGCCCAAACCTGCGGCATGTCGGGTTCCTTATGCCAAAAGGGAAAGAACCGGCTCATGACCCCGAAGGTGCCTGGATTATTGAATCACCCAGATTGGGGAAATATATCAAAACCTCGGCTTGCTTCCCATGTGCCTCGAATGCTGGGCAGGCGGCCGCTATGCTGGACCGAACCACCTTGGACGCGCAATCCCATGGGGTTCCCCTCAAACGACCCTTCGCGGACCTGGCTGAATCACTTTTGCTCAAAAGGGTTGAACCCTCAGACTTTTTAGAGTTTCCAAGCTGACTTCCTGATCTTGGCCAAACCCCTAATTACACCAAAGTAGTGTTGAAATTTGCAAATATTCAGTCAGCAAAAAAAATATAAATAAAGAAATCTGAGGAGATCCCAGAGAGCCAAGCCGCGGAGTTGACCCCATCGCAGCCTGCAATGAGATCCACCGACACCTCCTGTAGCTGATCGCCAGCCTTGATCTTTGCAGTGCCTGGCGAGGCAAATGTCACCTTACCCTCCCAACATGGAAGTGCACAGGCTCCAAACATAGCCTGCCAAAAAAGGCATCTTCAATTCTTCAATTCCTTTGACCGCGAAGTGCTTTGACCACGCACTGTTCCAGCCACAAGCGGTGCTTCAGAATTTGCACCGGCGGAGGGAGGTTGCTTGAGGACTGCCAGGGCAAGAAGTTGAACCAAACAGCTATCTGAAAGACCTCTGCTTTTGTCTATCAGGCTTCATGGGCGCACGCAGCCTCAAACGGCTAGAAGCCTCGCGCTTAAATGTTTTGTGATTAGTTTCAAGACCTCTTACGCATCACACCCCAGAAACATGCTTTGTCAATACCAATGGCAACAGTCGCAACTGTTCACTTTTCGAAGCTTGCCGTTCCCAAAACCCTTCCAACCTCAAGGTACCTTTCATAATACCACTCTTTTGAGGTCACCCGCTTTGGCATTGCTAAGGGAAACCAAAGGGAAACCAAAGGAAGCAACCCTTTGCGGGGTTCGCCCCTTGGGAAAGAAATGATAACAAGGCCCCTCCCCCCTCCCCCCCCCCAAATCGCCAGCCACTTGGGTCTCCACTTGTCCGGTCCTCGCCTGCCGTGGGGTCCACTGACTCCAGGCTGCTTTGGAAGGAGACCTCCAGGCGCCCAGAGCCTCGCAGATGGCGGGGGTAGCCAGCCAGCCAAAGAACCAACGAACCAACCAACCAACCACCAGCCAACTAATCAATCAACTAGCCAGCCAGCCAGCCAACCAGCCAGCCAGCCAGCCAGCCAGCCAACCAGCCAGCCAGCAAAATGGGTTGAGAAGTACCTCATGTGCTATCAACTCTTATAGGGCATCATCCGGGTGAGGCGGGCGGGGGGTTGGGGTTGGCCAACCTCAGGTGGCTATCATAAACCACCCAACCTAAAAAGCCTTCAACGTTTCAAGGATTTGAACCGCCGAACCTTTTACACTGCCATAATTCATGAAGGCTTGAAACAAACGCATATTTGGTAACCAAATGGCGATCTTGACAGCCTCCTTAGTGAGTTGGTGCAACGCACCCGTTGATCGCATGAGTTTCCACCAGAGGTATCCAGAGATAGTTCGCGCTTGTGACACGCTGACGGTATCTTGGGCAATTGACGCAGGACCGGGCGTATAGCCAGAACAGCCACCCCCAGTCCATGATCCAGTTGCAATTACCTTGGTAAAACGGGAGTCCGTTTCGGCGGGACTTCCATTTTCAGCCATAAAGGAGCTGGAAGAATCCACTCAGCTGGATGCCCCCCCCCCCCTCCGCCTTTTGGCCCCACCCCCAGCGGAGGGGTGTCTGTCGCCAGGGCGCCCTGGTTCGCCTCCAGCTCATCCAGCATGGCCGAGCACAGGTCCGACTGGTAGATCAGCAAGCTGGGCTCCAGGCCCTGTCGTGTCCGTCAGCTCCCCACCAAAAGCGCCAACAATTCCCCTAGGTTCAGTCCAAAACCCCGGGTCATTCCCTACTAAGCACCAGCAAGAAAAATAAGCAAGAGATATACTCTGAGTCCGGTGCGAAACCCGTTGAGTTCCATCAATCTGCGCTTCACTCAGTTAGAAAGCGGATCCGGCCTTGTTGTCCTCTGGGCTCCGCAGGTCAATGGCCTGAGCGTGTGCGTTTCTGCCAGCTTGGGCCATAGGAGCCAAAAGGAAACCAACGGTATTTAGGCTCAACCCGGAGAAACCCCCATCTGCTCCTCCCCTTTTCCTTCGCTGTAGCTGGTTTGTAAGTGGATATACATTCCGGCCTGCCCCAACGGCGGCTTTTTCCCATGTCCGAAAAACTGTCGTTGAGCGAGGTGTCTTTAATTCTTCCTTGTGGCTCCTTGGCTTCACGGGCAACAGCCAGCGTTTGGCTCGGGTTCCCCCGCCGCATCGGCTGCGGGATCTTCTGAGGGGCGACACAGGCGGCAGGAAGCCAGTCTACAAAAAGGGTCAGCATCTTCCATACAGCCGATTGACATAGTCTCTGTCAACGATACTTTTGTACCAGCATCATTCCAGTAACAAGAAGGAAAATGACATGTTCAACCAAACGCTGACCCGGTAGTCTGGGTGTGCTGCAAGCTCTGGAGCGATGTGGAGCTTGAACCGCTCGCTCGCGAAGCCGCTCGGCTTGATGGCGTCCCACAGCTTTTCCCCCGCTGCCCTGGGCGCTTTTAGAGCTGAGGTGTTGACATGGAACACGTGCCGCAATCGAAGATTTCCCTTCCTCCCACTAACATGGAAACTGTGGGAGGGTGCCTATAAATTTCATCTTGGAGGGACCCAAGGTGAGGGAGGCTCCTCTACTTTTGGTTGCTCTTTGGGTGCAATGCTCATCCGCAGAGTGGCCTTTCCTGCATAAAGTGGATGCGTGCCTTGGGCTTGGGATGATGAACTTGGATTTTGTAGGTGGGAGGGCTTGGTTGTTGCTAGGGGTTGGGCTTTTGGTGGCTAGGAAGCGTCCCAAAATTTGCTAAAGCCGAAGTTTGTTCGCATTCAGGGCTGAGTCAAGCAAACCTTCTCGCAAACATGCGGTCAAGGCAACTCAGGCGCTCGTGGCCCCAGCCCATGGCTCCAGTCGCTACCTTCAACAGCCATAAACTGCACCATCAGCACCCCAAACAGCACCTACACCAGCACCGCCCTCCCATCAATCTCGCAAATCACTTTCCCCTTTTTATTAGAAAATAGAACACGCTGCCATCACATCTCTGACCGTCTGGGGCGCCGGATGGCGGTGCGCCCGCGGATGCCAAGGCCAAGGGCGTAGGCACGGCCTTCCAAGCCTGAGTCAGAGGTGTTGAGAGGAATTTCAAGGACTTTCTTCGGGTTAGGGAAGGGGGTCAGGGGAGGGGGTCCCCTTTTTGGATGTTATATCAATTCGCTGCTTAGACATACCCACAAACATTGGTGGGGATGTCAGCTTGGTACATGGGCTCAGCTCATGGCAACCTCACAAAGGGGACCGCGGCCTGGTTCCCTTCGTGGGGCGTCCTTGCGGTTTTGTGTTTTTGGTCACCCAAGTAGTTCCCAAAACCCATGTCAAGGAAAGCAAGCCTTCCAACCCCTCCCTTACCCCCCTAACCCCCCCTGTTTTCTCTTACTTGCCGGCAAGTGTATATATGTACACCCGGATATAATAGTTATATCATTTTATCTACATATGTATCTACATATATGTATACACTTGTGCGTGTGTGTCACGCATAAACGTACAAAGGTACGTTGAAAGCTACACATGTTCCTTGTACAGCTTGTGCACATGCACAAGCACATTTGTACTAACATGGGCATGTACACATATCTATATACCTATCTCTATATGATATCATGTATGATACCATGTACAAATACCTATCTATCTATACCTATCTATACCTATCTATACCTATACACATATGATATCATGTAAGCGCGTTTTTATGGAGGTCACTTCCCACCCGGCCTGGGTCCCCAGCTCCCCGGCTCCCGCGGGTCCTGGCGGGCCTCTAGCAGGCGCACCCGCGCACCCGCCGCCAGCAGCAGGTGGGCCAGCAGCAGACCTCGAGCCCAGACCCCAGACCCTGCGGATGGACCCTGCACGAGCCACAGATGGATGAAGCCCTACAAGAAGCAAAAGTCGAACAAAAAAAGAAGGGAAGAAGAAGGGGAAAAAACGGGAAAAACAAAAACAGAACCCATGCATGATTTGTTCACAAGGCCAGTTCTGCCCAATGAGTGTAAGGCGCTGGAGGTGAATGGGGCAGCCATGAGTAGCCCGGCGCCGAAGCGGAAGTCGCTTGAAGCGATTTCCCTCTGTTAAGCACCAGGAACGACATGCGGTAAACGCATCATGTCTTGCAGAGTGTTTCCACGGTCTTGGCAAATGTAAGTATCGAATAGGTCTGGCCGCAAACATAGTACAGTACAAGGCATGCCCTCCCAAACCAAGCATTTCCCATGCTCGAACATTGAGTCTCTTTCAAGCACTCTTGATACCCAGTATGGATGGCCAGTGACTTTCTCATGAATGCAGGCCCCAGCGATCTTCGAATGTCGAGGCAGTAAGGCCTTTTAGACTCCGCCCCCCGCCCTGCTTGTGCACGTTCACACATGCAATTGCCGCAAACTAGGGTATACCCAACCTGTTTGGTTCTTGCTAGCAACTAGCAAACACACTTTCTCACCCCCCCCCCTCCGAAATTGACCATTCTTCGGGCCTTTTTTTCCCTTCAGCCCTTCTCCCCTTCAGCCCTTCCAGGCTTGCCTGAAGGCCCAGCCCCTGCAATGAGGACCGACAGGTCCAGCTGCGTTTCCTCAGGGCTCTGAACATCCGTTCCCAGGGTTCGGGGTTCGGACAAGGAGCGCACCACAAGCATAGGTGTCCTTTTAGGGGAAATAGATGGCCCTGGTAGATGATTAAACCACCAGGTACACCAGGAATCGCCCTCTATTATTCTTTCCCAAAACAACCAAAAAGGACACCTATGACCCTGTGGCTTCCCCTCAGTCTGTCTCCCTCTCTCTCTCTCTCTCGGTCCCTCCCTCCCTCCCTCCCTCCCTCCCTCCCTCCCAACTTGGTGGCTGTCCTTCGCCGCGCCGGCAGAAGCCACGCGAGTTCGCGTGCGTTTTGGAGGGGCTGCACGGATAGGCCGCCCCACCAGGAAGGCACAGCCGCCTTCCAAAAAGCCAGGCGGCTTTCTTGACGGGGCAGGGTAGGTCGCGCTCGTTCAGTGTGTAACCATGGCATTTGCTCTCTTATGGTGTAGGTACCCTAGGTGGGTTAAGAGAACAAGCAGCTCGGCCTTGATTAACTATGGACCCAATCAGGGAAACTAAAAGGGGTCAAAAGGTCCATTGGCTTTGGGCAAGTAAACGGAGTAAACAGGCCATGGCATTCTTTGCCGCTTTGAATGGGGCTGGGGCCTTAGGGGGGAGTCCTGCAAGAAGCTTGCGAAAGAGAGGCCTCCATGAATTCACGAGGTTGATGTCAACACAGCCCCTTGCACAAGGGTACTTGGATATCCCTTTGACAAGCCCCAGCAACATGCCCTTTCGCTGAAGCATTGCATTGCCGGCTCAGACATGTCCTCACACCCAGGCGTAGCTCTGGCCGCGCGAGAAATTGCCTAATAGGTGCCATGAGTTTCTAGCCAAACCAACCTAAACAGGACATCCATGTGCCTGTCGGAAACCAAAAGGCCCTTCTTCCAAACGCCAAGGCAGGGCTCGGGTCCCAAAATCCATGGGCTCAGACTGACCAAGCCCAGCCACCCACACACAGCAAGGCCAGCAGTGACCCCCGTGCCATGGCGCCAGAGCGGGCTAGCGCCTCTTGCCACGTGGGGCGCAAGGGGACGTCATCTCAAGGGGAAATGTTCAACCCTCTCACCCAGCAGCAAACAAAGGGTACAAACATGTACAAACATCATTGCCAAGCTGATGCTGGGCGATCTGTGCATGGCATGTCTCATGTCAGCCTCTTGAGATCTGGGGGTAACTCATCAAATTGCCCTGGCTGGTTCAAGCACGCTGAAGACGCGATGCTACGGAGCCATGGGCCATGGCCCTTAGGGCGCTGCAAAACGCAATCCGGCAGCCTTAGGGAACATGGCGAAGCATTTCGAGTCAGAACAATGATGATCTCTTTGACCCTGGGGGATCATACCGATCTTGGGACGGTTGCATGAACAAACCCCGGAAATCAGAAATTCCCTCATTGGCGATTGCGCTCATTTTTGAGGCCTCACCCGCCCCCCCGTTGAATCAAGTTCCCCCTGCTTGGATTGGTGGTTTGAGGATTCTGACCCACCTCATTTTCCAGCCAATCGCTTTACCATGTGAGACGGTGAAACCTGGTGTGAGACCTTTTTCTGGGGCAGGCTCCCTGCATCATTTGTTTTGCAGCTCAGAAAAGCAAGGCACTCCAGCTTCGGTTTGCTGGGTTCGGCATGGTTCGGCATGGTTCGGCAAGCAAACATGCGTAGTAAAAATAACAGCCAAGTGCAGGGGTCTGAGTCAAGCCGCGCTGGCTTTCCATTCACGGCCCTGGCTTGGCCATGGGCCGGCTGGCAAGGCACTGCCCAGTCCAAGCGCGGGGCTTGGGGCTTTGTTCATGTTTTCCAAAAACAAAGGCGCTGCTTGCAGCTACTGTGAACCCCCCTGGTTACAGCCCTCTCTTGATTTTCGCTTTGACTAAACTGTCGTGCGCAGTTTCCCACATTCTCATTTAATGAAATGACATTTGGGATTCTATCAGCTAAGCAGCTAAGATAAGGTATCACGTACAATCACATGCCGTGCAAGATTCAAACAATACAGAGTAAGAGAAAATCTCTGCGAGGTACGATCAGGTGTTGCGATAAAATATGCCATATCTGCAAACTCCTCAAATCTATGAGCCTGTCAAGGTGTCACCACTTGTTTGGCCGGCGCCTTGAGGACAAGTCATCAACTCCAGTGACATTGAAACTCTCGTGGGGCCTGCTTCATCTTATGCGCGTTTCAGTGGTGCATGTTGGGCTTTGGCACCTTTTGGAATAAGAACGGTGGTGCCAATTCCGGCGGAAGCGGGCGTCCACACGTGCGCCCGGTCTGTGGAAATTGTCGCGTGCACATAAAACGGCACAAACATAGAAATGTGTTTCAAACAAGTGTGTGCCTCCATGGCAGTAAAACGACAATTGTTTGTCGCGAAAGTTTTGCTTGCCACTCGACAAAACACAACCGCTTTTGCCTGCCTAGCTAAGTCTTGGACTAGGCTTACTCTCCTCAGGCTTCAGCTGGTCAGAGACATGCCTGCCCACAAGCAGCATTCCGGCTATTTTGTTGGCTCGCCGGCATTGTTTGTTTGCTCCGGTTGTTTTTCCCATATTCCGGGTGCTTTGAATGCCTTTTCCTAAAAGGCGTTGTTTTTGGCCATGCGGAGGGTGCAGGTATACGGTATAAGGCAACATATGCAAGATAGTAAACAAATGTATACCGCCATGTCCTTACAGATCTTCTGGTGGCCCCCTTGCTCCCTCCTTAAAAGCAAATTTGGATACCCCCAGCTCCTTGGCTTCCTCCCAACTACCAGCTAGTATAAACTGGTACAAACGATGCGGAGAAACGAAGTCGTATGAAGCGAAGGCATGCGCTCCGTGCCGTGCCGGGCTGAGTTGCCTCTCTCAGAAGCGGTCCGTCTTGTCCACCAGCTGCGCGTGGTGCCGCTGCTGCGCCACCCTCTCCCCGGCCTTCAGCTCCGCCTCGGCCACGCGGGCTTCTTCCACGACGTGCGCAGCGCCGCGCTTGAGGGCCCGGAGAGCTCAGAACAGTGGCAAACACGAGCGCCTGTAGCAAATGGTAAGCGGAATGATAGCAAACATATTCCAAGAGAGGCAACCAAACAATTTTAATATGGGACCAAGCCTCAAAGTGTGCAAGCCCGCCAACAAACTCTAATGCAAGCGGCTAAGCAAAATACCAATGATTGTTTATGTTCCTGACTCAATTGTGCTTGTTGCGTTGTATTCCTCAACCCCATTCAAATTATTTGGGCCCTGGTAAGCTCTAGCCATTCCCGGATGCGTGCAAGGAGCAGCTTGAAGCCCTTCGGACCACGTCTTCCGTGCCTTGCCAAGCGATGCCCGCTTCCAGAAGTACTGACCATCTTTCAAGGGGAACCCGGCAACCCGCAAAATCAAAGTCTGGGCTTCGCAAGATGCAGCTACCCCCCTGCAGATTAACATGGAACTCGAAAACCAATTGGGACTCCCTTTTAGGCTCCATATGCTCCTGCACATTAAAACGGAACCCAAAAGGTACAGTTTTTGCAGCAACCCTTTTAGGACTCAAGTGAATCTGCAGGGAAGCATTTGTAAGACCAATCAGATTCACTTTTGGGGGACTCCCTTCTGGGCTCCTTAAAACTCCAATGGAAAAGAAGGGAGCATTCATAAGACCAATCCGCTTCATCTTTTGAGGATTCGCTTTTGGGCTCCTTGGAGCTCCATTTGAGAAACGTGTGCTCCGACCGACAAGCGCCCCAAGAAATCTCGTCTCCCGAGCTGCCGTGTTCTCGGTGAGGATGCGCTTCGCGCCCCCGCTGGCCATGAGGCTGAGATGGGTCCGGCCCTCGCCGCCGAAGGTGCCGACGACACCTGGGACGTGCTCCCCAGTCCTAGCCCTAGGTCCGGGGTTGTCAAAATTAGGCACCCCTTTTGGTAGCCTTTGACAAGGTGGAACAAGAACCGACAAGATGTGCCTCGTGCCCACTTCTCATCCCAGGTTTGCAATTGGCTAAAAGCTTCTTTGTCGGTGCCTGCCACTAAAGACGGCAAGTCATAACCACTTTGAATCTTGAACAGTTCGGCTTTGTGAACATCAACCATCAATTCGGGCAAAACACACATGTGCGCTGAAGACACTGCGCATGGACGAAATCAATTTCGCACCACTTTGAAACCACAGTCGAAAACCTTTGATTCTTGTTGTGCGCAGGGGGAAATATTCATTCCCTTGGGTTTCTGAACGGTGGTATGGATGGAGTTCACAGCCATCCACAGCAGGGCAGTCCTTTCGGATGAGTGGAGCTCTACAGCGGGCCATCGCGGCGGGCCATCGCGCCTCCCGGACCGTGGCTCTTCTGGATGTCCACCCAGGGCTTTACCCGTGGCTTGCCCATAGGCTTGCCTCGGAATTGACGCGGGGCCCCAAATGGAAACTCGAAACTGAGCAGAAGAAAGTCTAGCGGATCTGGTCAAGATCTGGAATTGCAACCCTTGAAACAAAAAAGTGCGTAGTATTGGCAGTAAGGGGCAGTTGTGGCATGTATTGCAGAAAGTTCGGCAAACTTATATTTTGGATTTTGGAACTGGAAATGTGTTTCCCTTTGAATTGATTGGCGTGAGGAAGGGGACGTCTTGAATCGGGCGCAAAACCTGACTCAGGGATCGATGTCCTTCGTCTGAACATCATGCAGTGCCTTGAAGTCAGGACCACGGTCAGCAGCGCAAGCCACCCTCTAATTGGTGGTTTGGAGTGGTGGGGTGGTGGTGGGGAGGGGGGGTTCTCGAGGGTTCCCCCTTACCCTCTACAAGAACCAGGGACCCGTTCAAATCGCCAAACCAATCCAAGCATCAATTGAGGGATACTGCACATGACCAAAGGAATCTCGTCCTCTTCGAGCTAGCCTTGAAAACCATCGGCCAGGCGGTGCTTGTCAGACATGGCCACGTTATATTTCTGGGTTGGGCCTTCCAATTGCCAAGCCCTTGCTACATGTGTCTGTCTTTCAAGAATCGGATCCCATGTTGAATCCTTCTGGTTTTCCCTGACCAAAAGAGGGGGCACCTCAACTAGACCACGGTTGGCCCGAAAGCAGAACATCGCAAGCGAGGTCGGCCCAACGCTGCAGGATGCGTTCTTTTTCCCTACACGAAGCATTTGTGAAGCAAGGGCGAGACAGCACCAGGCAAGGTGCTCTGCGCAAACTGGTCGGTGCAAGTTGGTCTGCGCAAGTTGCTCTACGCAAGTTGCACTGTGCAAGTTGCTCTGCGCAAGTTGCTCCGCGCAAGTTGCTCCGGCAAGTTGGTCCCTGCAAGTGGCTCCCTGCAAGTTGCTCTGTGCAAATTGCGCTCCCTGCAAGTTGCTCTGTGCAAGCTGCTCTGTGCAAGTTGCTCTGTGCAAGTTGCTCTGCGTAAGTTGCTCTGCGCAAGTTGCTCTAGGCAAGGCGCTCTGCGCAAACTGGTCGGTGCAAGTTGGTCTGCGCAAGTTGCTCTGTGCAACTTGCTCTGCGCAAGTTGCTCTGCGCAAGTTGCTTTAAAATGCAAGTTGCATCTTGCGACGCCCGCCCGCGGACCAGGGAGGAATCGAACCCGCGACCCGCCGGTTCCGGGAGCAGGCGCGCGAACCACGAGACAACTCCCGAGGACCAGTTCGAACAACAAAAGTCGCAAAAAACCTCGAGTTTTTGCACCTCGACCACGCCGATCCCCGCAGAGAGGGTTGCGCGAGCACCGCAGAAATCGCAAAAAACCTCGCAATGACTCCTTGAAACAAGCAAGGAGTCAAGTGCAAGTTGCAAGTGCAAGGAGTCAAGTGCAATTGACTTGCGAGGAGTTAAAATCTCTTCTTAGGGCGGCGGGGTAGTGCCGACGACACTACACGAAAATCGACCCTCTGCGGGGATCGGCGTGGTCGAGGTGCAAAAACTCGAGGTTTTTTGCGATGTTTAACCTGCTCGCGCGACCCTCTGCGGGGATCGGCGTGGTCGAGGTGCAAAAACCCATGGTTTTTTGCGATTTCTGCGGTGCTCGCGCAACCCTCTGCGGGGATCGGCGTGGTCGAGGTGCAAAAACTCGAGGTTTTTTGCGATTTCTAAAGTTCCCGCGCGACCCTCTGTCGCAAGTGCACGGAGTTAAGTGCAAGTTGCAAGTGCAAGGGGCCAAGTGCAAGGAGCCAAGTGCAAGGAGCCAAGTGCATGGAGTCAAGTGCAAGTTGCAAGTGCATGGAGTCAAGTGCAAGTTGCAAGTGCAAGGAGTCAAGTGCAAGTTGCAAGTGCAAGGAGTCAAGTGCAAGTTGCAATCCTTGCCATGACTCCTTGCAATGACTCCTTGCAATGACTCCTTGCAATGACTCCTTGCAATGACTCCTTGCAATGACTCCTTGCAATGACTCCTTGCAATGACTCCTTGCAATGACTCCTTGCAATGACTCCTTGCAATGACTCCTTGCAATGACTCCTTGCAATGACCTTGCAATGACTCCTTGCAATGACTCCTTGCAATGACTCCTTGCAATGACTCCTTGCAATGACTCCTTGCAATGACTCCTTGCCATGACTCCTTGCAATGACTCCTTGCAATGACTCCTTGCAATGACTCCTTGCAATGACTTTCATGATGATGATTCCTTGCAATGACACCTTGTAATGACTCTCATGAGAACAACTCAAGTGAACCCAGCGGAAGAACCCTTCGCCATGCTTTCGGGAAAACAATAGCGTCAAACACCGACTACGACCAAGTCGAGACACCGGCGTCGGCGAAGCCGCAGAACTGCTCGGCTCCTGGCAACAATCAGCACAGCAAAACAAACACCAGCAAAACTCTCCAGATTTCGATCCTGGCCTGTGGGCACAGCTTCTCCACGACAGCGGCAGCTAGGTCTGCCTTGGTCACGTTGCTGCCTGCGACCCATTGGCGCACATCCAGCTGTCGGGCGAGTGCGCGAAGTTGGGGTTGGGCTTTGGCCGCCACCTCTTGCTGCAGCCACGCTTTGCCATGCTGGGCCGCGCCAGCCTGAAGCCTAGCTACTTCGAGCTCCATGACTTCTGTTTGAGCCAAATCTCGATGATCATCCGCAAGATGCACATAACAACCAGCCGTGTGCGCCATGCCCGTAAATAAGCCGTGTGCGCCATGCTCCCCGCAACTTCTTTCATGATGAGAACTCCTTGCGTCAAACTCCTACAAGTGAGTGGCCTGAAAGCATAACTCCCCACGATGTGCGGTAAACTTGTTTAACCCCGGCCTGGCACATGCGCAAGTTGCTCTGCGCAAGTTGCTTTGCGCAAGTTGCTCTGTGCGAGTTGCAGTGTGTGCAAGTTGGCGCGAGACAGCACCAGGCAAGGTGCTCTGCGCAAACTGGTCGGTGCAAGTTGGTCTGCGCAAGTTGCTCTACGCAAGTTGCACTGTGCAAGTTGCTCTGCGCAAGTTGCTCCGCGCAAGTTGCTCCGGCAAGTTGGTCCCTGCAAGTGGCTCCCTGCAAGTTGCTCTGTGCAAATTGCGCTCCCTGCAAGTTGCTCTGTGCAAGCTGCTCTGTGCAAGTTGCTCTGTGCAAGTTGCTCTGCGTAAGTTGCTCTGCGCAAGTTGTCTGCGCGCAAGTTGCTCTGCGCAAGTTGGCTCTGTGCAAGTTGCTCTGCGCAAGTTGCTCTGCGCAAGTTGCTTTAAAATGCAAGTTGCATCTTGCGACGCCCGCCCGCGGACCAGGGAGGAATCGAACCCGCGACCCGCCGGTTCCGGGAGCAGGCGCGCGAACCACGAGACAACTCCCGAGGACCAGTTCGAGCAACAAAAGTCGCAAAAAACCTCGAGTTTTTGCACCTCGACCACGCCGATCCCCGCAGAGGGTCGCGCGAGCACTTTAGAAATCGCAAAAAACCATGGGTTTTTGCACCTCGACCACGCCGATCCCCGCAGAGGGTCGCGCGAGCAGGTTAGAAATCGCAAAAAACCATGGGTTTTTGCACCTCGACCACGCCGATCCCCGCAGAGGGTCGCGCGAGCAGGTTAGAAATCGCAAAAAACCATGGGTTTTTGCACCTCGACCACGCCGATCCCCGCAGAGGGTCGCGCGAGCACCGCAGAAATCGCAAAAAACCATGGGTTTTTGCACCTCGACCACGCCGATCCCCGCAGAGGGTCGCGCGAGCAGCGCAGAAATCGCAAAAAACCATGGGTTTTTGCACCTCGACCACGCCGATCCCCGCAGAGGGTCGCGCGAGCACATCGCAAAAAACCTCGAGTTTTTGCACCTCGACCACGCCGATCCCCGCAGAGGGTCGATTTTCGTGTAGTGTCGTCGGCACTACCCCGCCGCCCTAAGAAGAGATTTTAACTCCTCGCAAGTCAATTGCACTTGACTCCTTGCACTTGCAACTTGCACTCGACTCCTTACACTTGCAACTTGCACTTGACTCCATGCACTTGCAACTTGCACCTGACTCCTTGCACTTGCAACTTGCACTTGACTCCTTGCACTTGCAACTTGCACTTGACTCCATGCGCAGCTCGCAATGACTCTCATGACTCCTTGCAATGACTCCTTGCCTTGCAATGACTCCTTGCAATGACTCCTTGCAATGACTCCTTGCAATGACTCCTTGCAATGACTCCTTGCAATGACTCCTTGCAATGACTCCTTGCAATGACTCCTTGCAATGACTCCTTGCAATGACTCCTTGCAATGACTCCTAGCACTGACTCCTTGCAATAACTCCTTGCAATGACTCCTTGCAACGACTCCTTGCAATGACTCCTTGCAATGACTCCTTGCCATGACTCCTTGCAATGACTCCTTGCATTCACTTTCATGATGATGATTCCTTGCAATGACACCTTGTAATGACTCTCATGAGAACAACTCAAGTGAACCCAGCGGAAGAACCCTTCGCCACGCTTTCGGGAAAAAAGAAGATAGACCCGCAAAACTAGGGGGGCGCGAGCCGTTTTTTGTTTTGTTTCTTGCTTTCCCTAAAACTAAAAAGGCGCAGACCCACATAGTTGTCTTGTTGGTTTCCCAATTAACCAAAAAAAAAAAAACACGGGATCAAACTCGCCGAGGGGCTTAGGTCCTTGGCCGCATCCACCTGGACGAGTGACTCGAATCCGGAAACACGCCGAGCCCGGGGTGTGCCGAGCTCCGAAAAGGGAAACCAAAGAAAACGGGGAAAACCGAAAACAACCCCCCAAAAAAAAGGCAACCCTCCAAAAACGACGAATGACAAATAAAGCGGAAACCCAAAGACGATGACTGAAACAGAGTGGCCGCAGATAAAGCAACGACGCACCTTCAAGGACATTGCATGTCTTCCTTGGTTTCGCCTTTAAACTACGGTAACCAAAAAAAAGAGACACAGAGTAGCCGCAAAACAAAAACAGCCCAAAAAAAGGACATGAACTGTTTTTTTGTCTTCCTTGGCTTCGCTTCAACCAGCCGCAAGTGGCCGTCTTTGGCGCATCGCCGACGTCACACCTGGTGCATGGGCTTGAAGGACTTGGGCATGGTGCTGCCAGCAGCGCGGGCCACCGCCATGTCTACAAAGGTTTGGTCCACCGCCTAACCGCGTCTTTCGAAACCGCGAAAGATCAACTTCCTGGAGGAACTTCCAAGTAAAAAGGGGGCAACGTCCAACCCAGGATTTAAGGGGTAACTGCCAAAAGCAATTTCAGCCATTTAGGGGGTTAAGCAGGGCAAACTAAGCCTTACACCGTTGGGGAGGTCTCGGATTTGGAAAATCCAGGGTCGCTTGCAAACATTCTGAACCCAGGGATCCACCAAACAGCCATGGAAAACAGCTGGTTTTTGAGAACGTATGAAGGGGAAACCACCGTTGGACAGCTGGTATTAACTGGCCTGGTCCAAACTTGCATCACAGGAACCATCAGCTGATTGGCCAATAACAAAATATCGCACTGCCTCACGAAGTGCGTTTTGCCACGTCGTTTTGCAACGTGATGTTGCCGTTGTCAAAGTAAAACCAAGTGAGAGGAAAGACTCCCTGCTTCTGTCTGATGTTGACAGGCAAACAATGGATTCAGAAACCGGCACCACGTTTTTACCATCAAGTCAGTCCCCGGTGGCTGGTAAGCAGCGGGCAAGCAGTCGCACAACCGCATGAAAACTGAGTTTGAACCCGTGCTCCTCCGTCGGGTGGTGGTTCCCCAATAAATTTGAAGAAAGCAGTGGCAGGACGTGACAGGATCTTACTCGAACCACTATGAGGACTTAGAATAAGGAGCTTCCCAAAACATCTCAAGTAAAGTAACTGTCAGTGGGACGGCACTCTGGGCGACTCTGGGCAGGAACCCGGAACCCCGCGGCCGAGCTGCCATGGAGCACATAGGGGTGATGCGAGACTTTGGGCCTTCTTCTTCCTTTTCTCTCGTCCTCTGCTTCTCAATCATCATTTTCGCCTTGAGTTCGGAAGAGGGTGGGTTGCCACCAAGGGCAAACGTGAGTGGGTTGGGTTGGAAAATGAAACGTGCCTATGGATTGCTGTGCGTGTGGGGATTGCCAATGGCTCCCTTTCAAACAGCTCTGCTATGCCCAGCTCGTAGGTGGAAACAATCCATCCCAAATCTGAGTTGTAACAGCGCTTGCACACGCGACACCCTTACCTCCACACTTGTTTAGGGTTGAAGGCCGGTCCATCCCTGGGACCCTCAAGCGTAATTCGGCAGTGCGCCGCCGAACATGCAATGCTCTTCGTCAAATAATGCCCCAGCGCTAATAGGTTCCATTACATGCCGGCTTTGGATACGAAAGCCCGCTGGGTAGTAGTCGTGGACGTGTTCCAATTGGCCCCTTGTTTGAACGTGTCCTTTGATTTCATCGCCTTGCATAGTGCTATTTCCCAAACAGATTCGAATCTCACAGGCTTCGATTCCACTTGTCCAGTTCACGTTGCCAGTCCCCTATTTCATGGTCTGTGTGTGTGCTCTGTGTGTGGGTGCGGGTGCGGGCGCGTGCGAGTGCGTGTGCATGCGCGTGCTGTTGTATTTTGTTTGTTGGCTATCAAGCTGCGATACAGGTTGCCAAAAGCAGCTCGGTTTGTCAATCAGAAACCAGCCCTGGCCAGTGGCCCATCGCCAGTGCTGCTTAAATTCATCCAAGAACCTTCCAAAATGCCGTTGGGCATACCCCAACCCCCCCATGGTGAGAACTCCTTTCATAGGGCTTCAGGGGCGTGGTCAGGAATTCCAGATCCCCGCCCAGCCCCCGACGGCACCAAGGGAAAACCGAAGCAATCCCAACCATGAGGAATGGTTGCTCCAAGATCTGTGCCAAGCCCAGCAAGTTTGAGTCAAATATGCCCATGGGTCAAAATCCTGTAATCCCAAAAAACATCCCAATCCTCACTGAAATAGACTAAACTGGGTGGTGCACCTACCCCAAAATGGTACCATGGATTTTGACCCACAGCCATATGGAAGTCTCAGTGAGTTGGGGGCCTCTTGCCTTCAGCGTTGGGGGTTGAGCAAGCATGAGTGCATGAGCACATACGAGTCGCCCAAGAACAGCAACGAGAATGCCAGACAACACTAGGCGCATCAGAGGTTAACACAAGCATCTTCCGAATCTGGTGCCAAATCTCAGCAAGTGCCAACAACTACAATGACACAACCTGTCTGGATAGTCTGTTTGGGCAGCATTCGAAACCAAACCAGCATCCGAAGAACTGTTTACATGTGTTTGCCAATCGCAGAAGGGGATAAAAAGAAAGATCGAAGCTTCGATGACAGCTTCCCCTGACCCTTTGGCTACGGATGCTAAGGAGAGGTCGCCCAGCCGGACAGAATGCACCCAGACCGAGGTGCCAGCTCCGCCTGCATCGCCAGCTCCTGCTGCCGTTTCTTCTTCGCTTTTTGCAGTTCCGCCTTGCAGGGGGGGGCAGTCCCAGTTCGTTCATCCCGTTTGCTACAAGTGAAACTTTTGGTTGGTGGATGTGTCATAAATATGTAGCAAACATCTAAACGTCTGGAAGGGAATGACGAACGCCGTCATACGAAGAAAAAAAACAAAAACAAATACTGTTTAGCTTTTGGGGCATCCCTGTTGGGTTTGCAGAAAGGTAAACCGCATGCTTCTGCTGGCTGCTATACACTACTACCCCTGGCAACCAAACAATACAGCTTGCGGGAAACACACTAAAGATCCATCCCAGCGAGATCTTTGCCCCAGGCCTCCGAGCACAGCCGTGCCGCTGCGCCGTTGGCCTCCCGCTCCCTCTCCTGGCACGTTGGCCACAGGGGAGAACGTAGCGATTCGCCTGCCTCACACCTGCCAAAGTCTCCAAATGGCTGTGGCTCAAAGCAACCGGTACCAAAACAAACCCCTGGGAAGTGGAAACCTGGGTACCAAAACCTGCGGTGTGCCCCTCCTGCCTAATTTGGAGCCACACCCAAATCCGAAGCCGAAAGCAAAGGAAAAGGGATCCCCCAAAAAAACACCTGCTGAGCTCGCCAAACAGCAGGCAGACAGGGGTCTGTCTCAAAATGCAGGAGCCCCAAATTGGAAGTTGGTTTCCGTCCAGCCACAACCAGGGGCACCAAACAAACTCGCCAGGCAGCCGAAGATGTGAAAATGAATGTTAGGAATTGATTAATTAACTATCCATACTACGCTGGGAAACGCACGCGGCCTGCTTCTTGTTTCTCTGGCGCCTTGCGATGGGTTCCACCCTTTCGGCCTACAGCAATCACCCAATGGGCCAAAAAGGGAACCAAGGAAACCAAGAACGCGTGCCCGCATGACTGCTCCCTTTCACATGATTTTGACACACCGCGCCGCTGGCACGGGAAAATTTGACGCGCTTTGAGCTACACCCACTGCAGTAAAAAGTAAGTCACGCAATAAAGAACAACCGTCGCGTGACTCTTGGAACTCTAGGAGTCTGGCCCAGGGTCCTGCAAGGAGTGCCTATGGAACCTTGGAATAGTTCATGAAGCAGAGCGTAACCAAGAACATTTGCCTCCCTGCTTCGTTTTCTCACCGCAGCTTGCAAAGGCGGAGTTCTGGCCGCGCAAGCCAGGCTGGCCAATGGGTCCCGCCTGGCGTAGGCGATCTAGGCCCTTTCCATCATCCGAGGCTCCCATCCTGGGCGGTCAGGTTTTTTGTTTGACGCCTCTCAGGCTGTTTGGCGCCAATTGAACCGAGCATCTTAGAAACATATGTGTATGAATTGCGATGAGGGACCCTTTGATGGACATTGGGGAGGTGGGGATTTATGTCCACCAACCACTTTTCAGGGGGCTTCTCATTCAAATTCATGGCCATATGTACCCCAGGAAGATCTTGTAACAGTGAAGGCGGACAAGTGGGCGTGTCTTTTTCTAGGGGACCTTTCAGGATGGTGGTTTTCCTTTTGGTTTCCCTTTAAATAAAACCGCACAAAGGGGGGACCCTCAAAAAGAAGCGCCCAGGTAGACAAATGTTCATGAAAAGGACAACGCATCTTCGCGAGGGCTACCTTCTTGGGGCTAAAGGAAAAACGGACATTGGACAACCCAACCGCATTTGAGGATGCGTTTTGAGAGAGGACCCAACCACCCCCCCCTCCCTCCAGGTGTTTCTTTCAAAAGACCCTAGCTAACTACCTTGTGCTTTCCGTTCTTCTGTGAAAACCAAGGGAAGGACCTTCGACCCGCGGCCGCAGGTCTTGATGCCGAGGCTCTGCAGCCGCATGTCCGCCAGCACCTTCTGCTGCTGCTGCTTTCGCGCCGCCGCCCGCCTGGCAAAAGGGGCTCCGACGGCCGGGGACGTGGTGAGTAATACTCTGCGGGGGACTTACAATCTTGAAGACTTGGTAAGTTGGTAACTTATAGTCATGGTTGCTAACCACTGGGAAGTAACGTGCTCACAAATAGAAGAAATGTATTATCACCGCGCTTCAGCTAGAATACCATCTAATCTTCTGATCACCGGAAAATCCATTTAGAATAATGAGGAAGGACCCTTAGAGTAAACCGACATCGTGCAATGCCTGTGCAAACCTTGGAATTGGACACCCTTTCAGGGGATCAAACGGACATAGTTTGGTCAGATGGAATAACAAAGCAAGATTTCACCCTGGCATTGTAAAACGTATTTATCATTTATATATGACTAAATGCATATCTAAAAAGACAATCCTATTTAAAGTATTGTTTGAAGCTAGAAACTCGACTAGAGCTATTTCCTTGTTAAAATCCACTTCAACTCTATCTAAACACTTGAACAAATCACAATGGCAAACAAACCCCTCCTTAAATTCTAAATTGAAAACACAATAAACATGTTCAATCTACGTAACAAAAACTTATTTTTACAAAGGAATTCCTACTCAAACATCTTTGAAGCTAAACAAATAACTAGATGTATTGCCTCAAGTTCTATGCAATTTCAATTTAGACAATTGTTGAAACACTTGGTTGAACAACACAAGTTCAATTAGAATCTGATCACGAAAGTCAACGCATGAAAGTGCATGACGGATGATGTGTGGGTGCGGAGTGGGGAAAGCAAGCGTTGCAATGAGTGCAATACAGGCTGTGAAATATCCAACTGGTTATGTATGCATATTCTAACTGGCATCGTCATAATATTCACGTATTCTAACTCACATTTTAAGTATTCCAGCAGTACTATTCTTTCAACCTTGGCATGTCTCCAGCAAGCGAAACAATGAAAATGCCACGCAGCCAGCCAGTTGTTAGGCAAATTTGTTGGCAACAGCATAGTGCAGCCCGGCGGGTGGCGGATTTTGGGGGGACCCAAGGCCATGAGTTGGAATCGGAAAATGCATTTACTCCAAAACACACGATTCTAGCTGGTGGCTCGTTCCATACTAAAAGGTCCCTGCCCTTCCGGGTCAAACTCAAGAAAAAGCAACACCTTGCCCCGATGAGCATGGCAAAAGCGTGCCGGAGCCTCGCGTCTCAGAGGCTCCGTCTCCACCAGCCATGTTTCGGGGCAGAATTGCACACGAACAGTGGCCCATAGCACGCACACGAACAGAGAGCTCCATCTGAGCCGTTGCTCACGGCTAAGCCTGGCAACATGTTGACAGTTGCCAAAACATGCCTTGACAACACCATCCTCTTAATTGGACGTCGCCTGTTTGGGATCGTCCTGCGCCTCAAAAGGATGGAACGAGGCTCACATGAGTGCGTGTTGCTTTGAGGAGACCGCTTTTGGGGTTGGTTTACATGCAAACCAACAGGGAAACGCGCGCGGGCGCTTCGGCCCCCCCAAGCCCGAAGCGCCTCGAGTGGTGCAGGTCAAAGCGCAGGTTGTGCTGATGCTCGTCGCCTCTCGTTGAAATAGCCAGGGGGATGTGTGAAGCATGGGCTCAAGGACTTAAGCCGAAGGGTCATGTGCTCCAGTGCTTCCAGCGAGGTTTCTAAGAGCCCCCTTCGATCAGAAGCTACCAAGACGCCTTCCTGGGCTGGGGGACCTTCGATTCTTGCTGGTGACATCTGTTCACAGTGCGAACCAGATCGGGACCAAATCTCGGGCTTCTGCTTACAACGAATCCCCCAAAAACGGCAGTGTCAGAGCACATGGACCATCTTTTTGGAACACTGACGTTTCTTTGCCCAGACAAAACCAAATTGCCATGAGACCCTGAGCTCGGGGCGGTCCAGTCTAGCAGCTTCGGACTCTTCTCGCTGCTGTCGCTCGCCTCAGAAATGACAAACGAAGTGCGCACGCGACTGACGAAAATGGAATGGGGACCAAGCATAAGCATAGGCGCTTGCCCATGTTCACTAAGTGTCACGAGTGATTACCTGGTTGCCCAGGAAAAATCAGAAGGGTCCAAACAAGTTTTCAGGCATCCCACGACACCTTCCCATGGCACTCTCCGCCCTTCCACAAGCGCTGCCGACACCAAGCACCCTTGTGCTACATGATGCGACGCCAGCTTTCAAAGGGTGGTGCAAATGACAGCGTCTTCCAGTGCGTTCATTCTCTTCGGAGCTTTGCCCAAACACTAGAATGTTAGGCAATGTCAAGCCAAGCCGGCAGACCCATACAGGAGGGAACAACTGGCTTCTGGGTGCGCCAAGTGACGCCCAGCAGTCTGGAAGTAGTTGACCTGCGCGCGGGGCAGGCCTCCTTGCAACAACCATGGGACACGGCCAATCATGTTGCCTTTTTCCAAGTCAGTCCTTGGCTTCTGGGAAGCGGGGAAAGGCTTCAACTGGAGAACAAGCATGCATCGAGTTGCATCGAGTTGCATAGAGTTGCATAGAGTTGCAAACATACTTGGCCTTAGGCAGCTTTTGGATCCCAGAAAGGTGGGATCATCAATTATCAGAATGAGGAGCGATGGCTTTTTCAGCCCCTCACCATGTTTTTGTGTTAGGTTTACTCTTTTTTGCTGTTTATTCTATGGATTTCCCATGTCCCATTTCCCGGGCCTCTCGAGCGTCTGACCGCGCTTGGTGCGCCCGGATTCGCTTTTGCTTCAAGGACTGGCGGTACTCCTCCTGGACAAATCCAAAAATATTTTCCCCCACGCGACCGGGTCCCAGACCAACCCCCGAAGAAGAAACATGGGTGTGGCTCAAAATTCAACTGCTAGGGCAAACCGCAGGTTTTGGTGCTTTGTGTCCATTTCCCAGGGTGCAATTTGGTGGGGAGCGTTTACCCCTGGGCTGATTTATCCTGACAGTTAAGCCATATGACAGTTAAGCCTTCTGGGCTGATTTACCCCTGATTTACTCTGATGTTTGGCTTATCCTTAAGGGTATGTTTCAGGGGTCTGGTGGTACAACCTTTGACAGATCGGATCCGACTCGACTCCACAATGGGGCAAAAGGCCCAAACTGGTTGTGGCTTAACCCAAGAGGGCCAAAAAGCAACGGTATTTAAGTTCCACCGAACGTTGCAAAAGTCCTTCTGAGCATGAGAAACACTCAAGGAATCCTCATGGATTCGAAGGGTTGGTGTGGTCAAGACATATGTTAGAACCCGAGCGCGAGTCCGTAAGCCGAGCGGACAAGGGGGTTCGTCTCAACCTCAAGAAGGGCACCCCCAAGAAGAGAAAATACGGGTGTGTCGTTTTTAGAGGACTCCCCCATGATGTGTCCTGTTAAAATTTCTCCTTCAACCTACAAAGACGGGGATACACTCAAACAAATGCCTTAAGTGGGCATTGGGAAAATGGCGAGGCTCGGTTGAGGGGCAAAACCTCCTACCTGGAGATTCAAACGTCAAGGAATTCCTAGTCATGCTCGGCATTGAGCCTGTTTTGGACGCAAACGCCCGCAAATTACCGCAAACGCCTCGAAACAGGAAACGCCCGCAAATTGCCGCAAAACGCCCGCAAAAAAGGGGCAAGCCCGCAAAAAAGCGCAACAGACCGCAAAACGCCTAAAACGCCTTGAGAACCAGAACGCCTAGAAATTCCTCGGGATTGGAATCTCCAGGTAAGAGAGATATAGATGCTGCCCCCTTCAGTCCAAATGTCAGGGACAAGAGAGCTGTACAAAGGTTCTAGGCCGCCAGGGCCATTGCCCAAGTGCTGAACACAAAAAAGACCTTCCACACAAATTGCCAAAAACGGAAACATAAACTTGAACCACCTCCCCCCCCAACGGATAGCAACTGGCGACCTCATGTGACCTTTTTTGGGCCACACCTGGGGCCCATTTCGCCCTGGACGTCTGGTCCTGGATCTCATCCTGCCGCATCCTCTCCTGAAGCTCCTCCCGCTCCTCGGTGAGACAAGCACAAAGCGGCTGGTGCTTGGAGTGGTCCGTGCACCGCGCGATTCCTCCAAACGCCATAGTCCCCCGTCATACACTTACAACTTGCAACTGGCTGCGGGCAGACGTGAAAAGCGCGGGACCCTTCGCGCTACGGCAACCTGCCTGGAGAACACCAAACAAAAGTCAAGCGAAGACACCCCACAGCTCAAGCTGTCAGCCACTAGCCCCAGCCGCTGGCTTACGCGCACCGTGCCTTCGAGCCCGAAAAAGGATTTTGAACATTTGAAACATCAAGCGGCAAAAATGTGATGCTGAATTTTGCTGGCCAAAAAACGGATTTACAACCCCCCTGGCACCCCTGCCACTGGTAGCCCCCCTTGCACAAAGCCCAGGCGCGAGCTGCCTGTCGCTGCTCTTTTGCCCGGCGCGGCGCGCGACCTCTTGCCGCCTCGGCAAGAGACGCCGGCCCTGCCCCCTCCCCGAGCTTTGATCAACCGCTTGAAGGTCTTGGCTGCCAGGAGCCCCCCACCCCGAACCACCCAAAAGGAATCCTATTTGGCCTTAGAGCTCCAATTGGCCATCGGGATGGGACCGGTGGCAATAGAAGATGTGGGGATCCAGAAGCGCTATCACAACCCATAGTAAAGCACCAACAGCACGAGAGGATCCACAATCTGGCGTATGGATGACGGATGAATGCTGACCAACCCTGTCTACTGAAGGGAAACCCACCCAAGGATCTGACCTGAAATAGAACTTGTCATCAATTCCATCTGGGCCCTCGTCATAACCACAGCTTGCAACTTGCGGCGCCGAAACTAACACTACTCGGCCGAAGCGCCAACTGCCCCGCTCGCAAGCGCCAACTGCCCGGCGCGCGGCGCTCACGCCAGCCCGAAAAAGCACCCAAGAAGGCCAAGCAGCATTTCATCGCCGCGCTTCTTGAGCTCCTGTCCCGTTCAACCGCCGCGCAGTGCAAAATTGTTCAAGGCGATGTCCAATGGCAGGCTGCAAATGATGACTTGAGATTGGACTATCAACATCACTTTGGAAGAAAAGCAGGCTGGAGAAAGAAAAGCCATCAGCTCAGCTTCGGACTCAGGAGCTGTTTGAGTGATGGAGCAGAACAGCAAATCAGTGCACCCAGGGCTTGGCAAAGCAAACTGATCGTTGCCTCAGGACTCCGATTCGCAGCGCTTTATCTGGGGACCGTGTTTCTGCATTCCTTTTCAATACGGAATTTACAAGGTTCCTTGAACTGACGGACTAAACGGCGATCATCCGGTGATCATTTTGAACAAAGCACCTGCTTTAGCTTCTTCTGCGTCTCCATCTCTTCGTAGAGCATCTGCATGCTCCGCGCCTGACGGGACACCCAGACCGTTTGCTTCCCAGCCAGCAACGCACCCGCAACAACATGCTCCCTCGATTCCACGTTTCAAGAAGGGCAAATAGAATCAATCCCTGCCAAGTGATTTATCCGAGGCTTTTCACTTTCGGTGGGGAAGTGATTCTCGTAAGGAGGAGTCATCTGATGGGCAGCTGGATGGGGGGGAATCCAACATTGACCCGACCCTGCTCACAGATTGCACGGAGACTTACTCACTAGTCCCGCGTTGTTGTGTCTGTTGTTGTGTTTTCCTCTTCTTCTTTTTTTTTGGGGGGGGGGTAGCTTCATTGTTCTGTTTGGGGGGGGGGGGGCAGGTAGCTTCATTGTTCTGCCGTTACTCACATGCAATTGTTCCACCATCATGCTACGGTCGGAGTCATGCGGAACCCTGTTTGTTCAGAAGCCTGAGCTTATTGAGTTGCAAACCGGCACCAAATATGCAAAGTTTCGGCCATATGATCAGGGCCAGTCAGGCTCCAACTGCACTTATCCACCAGCGCTCCCAGTCGTTTCGCGTTTCGCACGTATCGACTCATCATCGGCCTTGGTCTCCGCTCCCTCCAAGAGATCCTGGAGCCTGGCTTCCTTGGCCCTCTCCTCCAGAAGCGCCATCTGCTCATCCAGGCCTTGCCGCATCTTCTCGCGCTTCCGCTGGAGCTCCTCCTGCGAAATCCCAAGGCTCGGATTTCGCACATCGGGTTGTCTCAAAGGGGAAATAAAGGGGATGTGAAGGGGACATGCCGGGGAATGAACAAAAAATGAAGGGACACAAAGGGGAATGCGTGGAAATGAAGGGAAATGAAGGGGAACAAAGGGGAGATGAAAGGGTTGGGCAAATAGAGACAACTAAAAGGGAACTGATAGGACATAAAGGGAAAACATGGAAATTGGAAATTGATGGAAAACAAAGGGGACATGCTGGGGAAATCAAGGGGAAACTAATAGGAATGTAATGTCGGCGGACTGAGCAAGAGGCCCTTAAGTAGAATTTGAATTTTAAGCCAAAGCTTCAATAGGAATTTTGTCCACATACTTCTGTTTGGAGTTTAACCCGTTTACAATGGAACTAGTTACAGAAAGAACAGACCGTTGTTTCTTTCAATTAACCTGCCACCAGGAACAACTCGAGTAAAATGCAGCTTCAGTTCTAGGGATCTGAGACAATTAAATGATAAGCGAATTCTCCTCAGTAAAGTACATGTAAATGCAAAATTGAGTTGTTTTGACGTACTCTTTTTGCAAAGAATTTCCAATTGAAATCCTAATGTGAGATAGAAAAGCTACGTAACTGATGCCTTTCCTCATTAAACTCTATAAATCCTCCGTCACTGGCCTGTTTCTGCGCTTGCCAATGAGTGACTTACACAGGAAAAACACACCACTCACAGCATCCCGCTCACTTCTTGAAATGACAACATGAAACTGCAGTGATTGTTGAGGATAGCGCGCCCTATACCTGGTCAATGTTCAACCCGAAACTAAGATGATCCAATATGTATCTTCCACCTTCATTGTGAAAGGGTGGGCATGTAAGACGTTACTCTCCTTATAACAATCTTGAACAGCTCACTTCCAAGATTGTTGGAAACTGGTTTCCAAGCAATAACCCATTATTTTAACGGTCAACCCCCAAGTAGGTGGTATTGGTTTACAACCAATTCCTGTTGCCCCACTCATAGCCATTGTTGCAACCTACTCAGTCGCCGCAGTTTGTTTGCAAAGGGGTTTATATACCGGTCAAGTGCAAAGTAGGTCGAAGATCTAAGTTACTTCAACCCAAACGTTCCCCTTTTGGTTTAAGTCTACCCTGGGGTAGCCAAACAAGTGAAAACCCTGCCCCCGATCGATCCCTCCCACTCCCTCCCATTGCTTCCTTCTCCGCCTGCTCCCTGCGCTCCATCTGCATGGTGGCCGCTGTCACCGTCTTGGCCATATCCTGCAGCTCCCCTTTCTGAGCTTGCCTGGCACCGATCGAACGGGCCGCCAGTGGGAGAACCATGCAGCCCCTGATTGAAGGGGAAGGATCGTGGCACTGGCAATGCTCCACCTGCCTCATAGGGGACTTACAACCATGGCTACTCCCACCTACCTTATGATGGCTTTGGTGTGCTATGACCATGGTTAGTGACAACATCTAACAACTTGCCAAGTACCATGCTCTTCCAAACACCCCCTCCATATGTTATCCTCCAACATAGCCTGCTGCCCGCCGCTGTTGAAAGACTACCCTCCTTTGGCAACCTCTTCTATGTCTGCTATTGGGAGGGCAATTCTGTCCTGCGCACAGTCGCAAAGAATACTGGGAAGGTGAACCCCTTGGAGGACTGTGCTAAAGCGCTGCATTGCCCTGAGCAAACTGGCAGGTGCGCCAAATATTATTCTACCAAGCTTCCGTATCACTTGGCGTGCGAATAATTAGGGCATTCCTGTGAGTTGCTTTTACGCTTGAGCAACATTCCTCATGACTGTATGCCGCGAACGGAGGCATGAGCGGCAAAGGCTCGTCTAAGGGCCTTTTTGAAGTCTGGGACTGTCCGAAAAGGCCCGCAGGCAAGCACGGAATCAATGCGCCTGAGGGCTTTGTTGTCCTCTATCTGCTTGGCGAGCCTTGGAAGCGCTTCGCAAGCCCCCGTGTCCCAAAAGGCTACGCTTCAGCAGACAACTCCCCCCAGATGGAGGAATCTCCCAACCTTCCATTTGGGTGCAAGTTGTGATGGGGGACCCTTTGGTGGCGGATTCATGTCCCACCACTTTGGAGGTGGTTCCCTATTAAAATTCATGGTCAAGCACCGGCTGGGCCCCACAGAACCACCTGCTGAATCGGCCCGAACTGCCTCACCTCACCGCTTGCCCTGCCAAAGCAAGCGGCTCTTTGCGGTAGAACTCCTTCATGGCCAGCTTCTGCGCGATGCGCTTGTCTTCCTAAGGCGGGAGGACTCCAGCGCGGCATGGAGAAGGGGAAACCCGAGTGGCATAGGAGTGGCACACCAAACCCCTCGATTTTTTGCACAAGCTAAGAGGAGCCAACACATGGCAACAAGCCCTAAAACATCTGTTGCTGCCAAGTTGGGGGCCTTGCACGGTTCCAAGCAAACCCTTGGCTTTGCATACCACAGGCGCAAGTTCTCATGAAACTTGAAGGGAGGCTACGGGGAAACATTAAACTTAAACCATGCGGTGTTCGGGGCTGATCCTAGGCTCGAGACAGCCTCATGACTCCCCCTCAAGGTCCAGTAATCCAAGGCTCTGATTCCACAAACGCATGCGGATCCCACTTGCTGCCAGCCTCCACCAGGTGCCCGCTTGAGCAACGCACTTCAAGCTTATATGGTTCTTTGTGGGCCTTCAGTCCAACAGGCACTCATTGCGCCGAACAAGGCTTCCTGTTCTGGGGCACTTGTTTCAGAACTCCTTCGAGCTTTGTTGTTTCCTTCGGCTCGAAGCATCTCAAAGCTAGCACTTGCAGCAGCGCGAGTCATGACCGGCTCACTTCGATCCAGTTGGCCGGCGAGTTCTGTGGGGCCACAGGCCAACCAGGCCAATCGAACAAACAGATGGCAAGGCGTAACTGACTTGGGTTCATGGCAGTATGTTGGTGCCCTTTTGCCATGAACCAGCATTGGGGTCCTTGATTCCGACACAAGGCAAGATGCAATCTGGTTGCACCAGAACCTGCAGTGTGCCACTGATGCAGTCAACATGTGCGATTCTTTTGCCAACATCCTGGCAAACACCGATCACACCGGCAGCTCCGTTCAGTCTGTGGTATGAGAACCCCCCCAAAAAACAAGCAACAACAACAACGACAGACAATTGTTTTCAAGTTTGCTTCCCTGTCACATTGTCCCAGAGAGTGCCCTTAAGAACAAACACACACACAAAAATTCGGTTTGTGGCCTGCTTCATGGGGTTGTCCGCCGTGTCCGTCCACATGGCCCTTGGCACGTAAACGTCATCCTCGGCAGGAACACCTGGCGGCCGTCTAGCTCTGTAGAACCCCCTCAGCGCATGAACCTCTCAAACGCAAAAACAGACACGCACACGCACACGCACACGCACACACGCACACACACGCACACACACGCACACACACACACACACACACTTAAACTCCAAATGGAGAGTGCTAATCATTCGAGTACAACTGATGAGTCTCGAGTACAACTGATGAGTCTCGAGTATGATGAGCTTCGACTCGCATAACGCTTGGCTTCCCTGTAGCTACTTTAACAGGGACACCCAGAAGCAACGGCAGTTCAGGGGGGGACCAAAAGGACATTCAGAACAACACAACCATCTCGGCAGGTACGTCTGACTGATCAGGTCAGATATCAGCGCAGGTCACGGCCCTCTTCGTTGGGTCACCGGTCGTGACTGCGGGTGACCCCCCTGCTGAGAAACCGAAAAGGTGGTGACAGGGCATTCTGTCACTCCGCACACACACACACACACGCACGCACGCACGCACGCACGCACGCACGCACGCACGCACGCACGCACGCACGCACGCACGCACGCACGCACGCACGCACCCACACACACACACACACACGCACACACACAAAACACCGACTAAGATGCGCGCACACACACACACACACCCACGCCCGCCCGCCCGCCCGCACGCACGCGCCCGCGGACGCGCACGCAAACCCACACACACACACAAACTGATAAACACACACACACACTGATAAACACACACACACACACACACACGCACGCACGCACACACGCACGCACGCACGCACGCACGGGCACGCACACACGCACACGCACACACACACACACAGACACACAGACACACACACACACACACACACAGACACTTCCAGGCACACACACACACAGAAGCACACAGCCACACACATACACAGACACTTCCAGGCACACACACACACACAGAAGCACACCCACACACACACACAAAACCCACAAAAACACAAACACACACACACACACACACACACAACACAAAACACAAACAGAAACACACACACACACACACAACACAAACGCACACAACCACACAAACACAAACGCAAACGCACACACACAAACACAAACGCACACAAAACAGAAAAGCAAACACGAACAGCCGCAAACACACAGAGACACAAGCAGATGCCCATTGGGCCTGGCACCATGCCAAAGTCGTTCTCCCCCCGCGGCCGCAGCGTCTTCCGCATGCTCCCGCTCATCGGCCCGCTCGCGCGGAGCTCCGGCGCGCTGGCGCTGGCGCTCATGGGGGTCCGGCGGGAGCTGGCCTCGAAGACTTGGATTTGATCCATCCGTTTTAGTGACCCTGTACTTCTGAGGGCTTTTTGTATTGCACCTTGTGATTACACCCTTGGGAAATGACCCAAAATGGTTCAAAATAACACGGTTCTAATACCCAGTGGGTGTATTCCCATTGTGTCATACACAAAAACAAACCTTAGAGTACTGTGGCCAAAATCCAATTCGCACCAACTAAGAAACCCTGGTTTCTGATAGATGCCCCTAATATCAATCAACCATGGTTTCCCGAACGGTTTCAAAGTGCTGCGCAATGGATTTCATCCACCCACAGTATGACCCTTTGGACCATCCACCGGTTGCCTTCAAGGGGGCCCGTGCCTAAACCTCTGAGCAAGATTGACTCCTTGGATCATGGAACCCTCCCGGGTTGGGCACCTCCCGCGAAAAAAGGCGGGCGAGTCGTGGCATGGTTTCCGGGGCCTTGCAGATTGACCTGGAGCCCACAGCACATGTTTTGAGGAGCCCCCTGCCTTCATGAAAACATCCGCCAGTGTTAGCAGGCTTCCAGCCAACGTTTTTTGGTTTTTGCGTTAGTTTATTGTTTGCACTCCCTCAGTGACAAACATGGAAGCTCCCCCCAATCGGCCTCTGAAAATGGCAGCAAGTCTTCCGCAGGGGTTCTTGGAGCTTCCATGGAATCACCTCTCTGCTTCGTGCTTTGGCTGGAATTAGGGATCGTTGTTTGCTCGGCCAGGCTTGCACCTTTTGCTGATATATCAAAGGGACGTGTTCAGCAAGCCCAAGGGGCAACACATTGAATGCGAATAGGATCTCCAGAATCTCAAGCATTCAGCCAGCCAAAATCATGAGGAAACCCCACCCTGGATGCCATTCCCATGACAAATTGATCACCTTCAAGGAGGCCCTTTTGACCAACCCAACTCAAAAAATAAACACATGCCAGCCGCAAGCCAAGCACCGCCAGCCACTACACGAAAGTATCAAAATTTTCTCGCGCCTGCGCCGCCATGGCCGCAGGCCGCGCGCACGGCGACCGCTTTCTGGAGCCCCAAGTTCAACCAACAAAAACTTCGGCCGCGCGCAGAACACGGTGTGGGGGCGTGGGGTGGGAAAGCTATAGGGCTCTGGCAAAAAAAACAACAACAGTGTGCTTTCTCCTGTGGTTTCCTCTTTGGGACAGCAACCAGAGAAAGCGTCTGGGTTGTTGGCAGAGCAGGGCTGCCTCGAGGATCGTACAGTAGCAAAGTGGTTAGGCTTGAGGGAAACGAAAAAGCTCAAATCATTCAACAAACAACCGCGAATCGGTCACAACACTCTTCATGGTAAAAGGATTTCATGTCGCAATCCATGAACCCCTCTACAACTCCCATGCTGCAAATACTTGCAGCTTGCAACCCGCTCCCAGCCAGATCAACACACAAAATCGGTTGGTTCCCTCCACCAGGCACCCCACAACTCTCTACCGAGTTGTGCCAGGGTTCAGCCTCCAAGGCGCTGGCTATGCACGCAAAATGACATCAAGCGGCACCTTGGTCGCTGTTTCGTTGGTGGGCTTTCACTTGAAAAAGGCATCAAGAGCCCGACAAGGGTCCCCTTTGTCCGCGTCACTGGAGTACCACCCTCTCTGCCAGCGCTCGGCGCGCAGCACTTGGCTCCCGGCGTCCATGGGATGGCAACGAGCCATGTAGGCAGGGAAGGGGCAAGCTTGAAGCGTTCAAAATGGGGTCCAGACCATCTCGGCTTTCCTCGTAACCCGTTCTTGGACACCCACACAAGGGAAATGGGTCGTGGCACAGAAAAAGGATTGATTTTGAGGAACGTCAAGAGGGTGGCCTCCAATCTGCCAACGCAAAGGCTGTAAGCTCGCAGTGCAAGACATCCGTGACCACACGTTCCGCTATCCCCTCCATGCTGAGTACGACCCCTGAACCCTTTCATCATCATGTCCTACTGGTGGAAAGTCGCCAATCCACCTTGAGAAATGCTCCAGGAACGGCAATTTGGGCCAAACTGTGCAAGCCCAAGCTGCCCTCGCGACAGTGGCGGGACGGCCGATTGCATGCTTGTCTTGTTTTGGGCGGGGGGGGGGGGGAAAGGGGCACTGGCGTGATTTGCTTCCCCGCAGGATGTCAGGCAATTGCTTGTTGAACTTGTCGGGAGGTCGATTCGGACACCTCTTAGCGGCTCAGCGCAACATAGGACTGATGACATGACCGCCACTGTCGCTCGATGTCTGCGAGTGTTGGCGTCAAACAGCAGTTACATTTGAGTGTATGGGTACGGTACGGTTGCCCCCTTGCGAAGGAATCAATGTAAGTCTACAACTTCTGTGCACACGCCTCAGACTGCAACACATGCTGGTGCAGAGCACCGTGCACCCTGCAAAGTGTCGTTCCATTTCGCCCCATTCTCCACACATGCCTTCTCTTTCAAGCCAGGCCAGGGAACCGCATGCCTATACCCAACTTTCAGCAACCCAACATGAAAGGACACCTGTGTTCCAAATGCCCCCGCTCCCAGGCAGGGGGTGTCGAACCTCGAAGGACTTTGGCCTGGCGTTCGAGGGAACCTGTGGAGAACCACAGGAGTTTGTGTCAACAGAACATCCAATCTAGCTACATCGAACCCGACACCAGGTGACCGGATTTTGACGTCGTGGCCTCCCCTCGGATTCCATGGGAGAGAGGCAGGGTATAATGTTTATCAGTCCAGGCAACAAGCAGTTTAGGATTTCTGGACTTGCCAGGGATGCGCGTCGATCGTCGACATTGGGGCCGACAAGGCCCCTTCATGAGAGCGCTGCCTGTGACGGTACCGTGTCCAAACAACCCACAGCTGTCACAGGCTGTGTACTGTGTGACTCCCTTGCTAAGGCAATCTTGAACATGTCCTTGGACTCGTTCCTCGTGATATTTGCGGAAACCTAAGGAACCAAAAAACAAGTAGATGGGACACCTGTCCGTCCTAACTTGGTGATTAAAAGCGTTTTTAAATACATGCCCGGTTTTTATCACCAGCCTTGGTCCATCCAAGCAAATGTGCGATGCTCCACACGCGTAGAGGTCAACTCTCGTTATAGTCCCAAGGCATCGAAAGCCCAGGCCAACACAAACGGGGCCGACATGTTTACTCAGCCATTTGCTAGAGAAGCGGATTAACTTCCACGGAACCCGCCTGCCCGAAACGATTCCCAGCCCCCCAAAAATGATGCATCCTGAAGCACCCAACGTGCCTTTTTTTTCAGGTACAAGACGCTCGAACTACCGATTTCTGCTTGACCCCTCAAAAAAAGCTCCCCCCCGGAAACAAAAAAAAAAAAAAAAAACAATTAAAAAAAAAACACGCTCGATCAAATCACAATTGTTGCTTTTTTGTTGCCCTTGTTTTGCGCTCGCTTTGCACTTCGATTTCTGTTCGCTCCTTTCAGCGACCGATCATCTTGGAGGACCGATCAGCCCGGCTTTGCGAAAAACGCTCGCAGCAGGAAAATGTGTATGTTTGCAATATTTTGGTGACGACCCCTACTGCTTTTGCAATACGTTTGGGCTAAGGGGCAGAAACTTAGGTAACGAAGGGTGCTCCACGATGGGATGCAACCCAGTAACGCTCACTCAGACAATTAGGAGCCACTTCACATGCCAACGCAACAACAGGTGCCCAAACTATGAAGCAATGTAGAAACAGATCTGCGGAGGGCGGATTGATCACTAGCAGCAATGCTTGAAAGAGCGCAAGCCGCCAGCAGCTCATTCCGTCAGGGTTGGAAAAATAGCAAACAAGACACTCATCCGCAGCAGTGTAAGGCAAATACCGGTTGAATTCTTGCCAGGTACTTGCCGCTCAGCCCAAAAGGCTGAAACAACAAACCAGCTGCAACTAGAGCAAGAATGAGTGCGCTATGTGTATTTGTTGTGGGGTTATTGTATTAAATATGTCTGTGGACTCTAATTTAGCTGGGGTTTTATGCCCACCAACCGTGGAAGCAGCAAGGGCTCGTTGGTTGCTAGCGGGCGTACGTGGGGGACCTGGTCTGTTTTTCCGCTGGACGGCTGAGGGCTGTGGCCCCCGGCACCCATGGAGCCGGACCCCCGCAATTGTTGCAGCGCCTCGCTGGGAATTCTCCGTGGGGTGTCTCTGGGCGTGTCGCCCATGCCATCTCCGTGAGGTCGTGACTGAACACAGTGAAACCAAAACCTCGCATGGGGTTTGTGCAACTCAGTTTCTGGTTGGACAGATCCAGCAAGCTAAGGTTGCTGCTGTCGCTCGGGCTTGTTGTCCTCGCCACAGCTCACGCCTGGACCCGCTAAACTTGGAGGGCATGGGTGATCGAGCAAACCCAGTGGCATGGTCAGTACTCCATCTTGACTGGCTTCAAAAGGCATGCCCCTAGGAACTGGCGTACTGGGTCAGAATGACTTGGGATGGCCACCGTGGCTCCCTTTGTACGCCCTCGTCATGTCCAAGCTTCCGATGCTGGTTTGAATGACTACCCGTATTCACCCCAAGCAAACCTGGCAATGAGCGCCATGGATTTTCCCGGGGCTCAGGCACTCCCACCGCTCGTTGCTCGGCGAGGCCGTGCTGTCCTCGCAGAAGATTGGGCACCATCTATCAGCTTGTTCCGAGTGAGCTGACCCCATAGAAAGCTTCTGAGGTAGCTTAACGACTTAAAGCGGAAGGGCCTACCAACTGTCATACATCAAACCGACTTCGTGCGGCGTCCGCATCCTCCTTTGAAGCCAGTCTTTCCAGCCTCCTTCTCATGAGCGCAGCCTGTATGTACTCCTGGGAGTTACCAAGAAAGCTGGCATCACGCCCTTCCAAGGCTTTCCACCCAAAGGCCTGAACAGACCTGTGTCGCTGCAAAATCGTGTGACGGGCGTGCGCATGTGCTTGCGCTTGCACACGTGCATCGATGCTGGCGTGGCTGCGCGGCTGGGTGAGGGTAGGGTATGCGGGGGTGTCGGTGCATGCGCGTTTGCGCGTGTTGGAGTGTTTGCTATTGATTGTTTGTGTGTGTTGTTTCGTGGGTGCGAGCGTGCCGGTGTGCGTGTGCGTGTGTGCGTGTGAGTGATCGTGGGAGTGTTGTTGTTTCCGTGGGTGCGGATGTGCGGCGTGTGTATGCCTGCGTGTGTCTGCGTCTGTATCCGGGTCCGTGTCTATTCCTGTGTGTGTGTGTGTGTGTGTGTGTGTGTGTGTGTGTGTGTGTGTGTGTGTGTGTGTGTGTGTGTGTGTGTGTGTGTGTGTGTGTGTGTGTGTGTGTGTGTGTGTGTGTGTGAACCGTCCTGGAACACGGACGTTAAGCAGGGGGACCAGGCGTCTTGCTGCTGACCTGGTCTAACAAAGCTAGGCAGCAAGACGGGATACCGGAATTGGCCATTCCGGCGTACCTGCCATCCTTTCGTGACCTAATTTGCACTGCAGATTGATTTTTTCATGCCCTTTCAGTACAATCGCGTGTCTGCAAGAGCAGCCTCTCGAGATAAGTGTGTTTACCCACGGCCTGTCCGACATGGCGCTGTGGGCTGGACTCGCCACATGCGGGAGCCCCCTGCGAGGGGAAGACCGTTCATACGTTCAAATTCAACCTGCCGTTCAGCGCGTTTGACCACGATCAAGGCTGCAGCTTGAGGTCTTAAGGTATTCCGCACCCAAATGGTGCTCTGCTGGTTTCATGCGCGTTGCACTGCCTGCACTGCCTGCCTTTGAAGCAAGGCTGCACCCACGAGGTTTCAGGTTCCTAAGCTTCATGCGCCAGTGACGAGTTGGTCATACACCAACTCTGCAATTCGTGGTGTTTATGGAAGCTTTCGTCTCGGATGAGTTCAGTTCAGATTCATGAGTTCAGTTCAGATTCATCGGCATAGCCACATGAGGCACTTTCATGAGGCCACTTGACAGGCACCTCTGAGAACCCCTTTGTGCTCGCATGCATTTGCACCATTGACGCCTTGCGAAACCTTTTTCCGTTGCCGCGGGGTTTTTTGTCGGTCCCCCGGTGGAATTCCCTCGGTTTGGTTTTGTGCGCTCGGGTTTTTCGTCCTTGAAAATGTTTTGCTGTTGCCGGGGGTTTTTGGAGGTCCCCTGGTGGAATTCCCTCTGCTTGGTTTTGTGCGCCCGGTTTTTTGTCCTTGAAATTCTTTTGCTGTTGCCGCGGGGTTTTTGGCGGCCCCCTGGTGGAATTCCCTCTGTGTGGTTCGTGTCCGCCCCGCCGGGGCCTTGTGTGTGTGAACCGTCCTGGAACACGGACGTTAAGCAGGGGGACCAGGCGTCTTGCTGCTGACCTGGTCTAACAAAGCTAGGCAGCAAGACGGGATACCGGAATTGGCCATTCCGGCGTACCTGCCATCCTTTCGTGACCTAATTTGCACTGCAGATTGATTTTTTCATGCCCTTTCAGTACAATCGCGTGTCTGCAAGAGCAGCCTCTCGAGATAAGTGTGTGTGTGTGTGTGTGTGTGTGTGTGTGTGTGTGTGTGTGTGTGTGTGTGTGTGTGTGTGTGTGTGTGTGTGTGTGTGTGTGTGTGTGTGTGTGTGTGTGTGTGTGTGTGTGTGTGTGTGTGTGTGTGTGTGTGTGTGTGTGTGTGTGTGTGTCTGTGTGCGTGTGCATGCATGCCAGTGCTGGTGCTTGTGTGGGTCTGCGGCGTGCGGAGGTATCCTTTTCTCCAGTGTGTGTGTGTGTGTGCGCGCGTGTGTATGTGTATGTGTATGTGTATGTGCATCTGTATGTGTATGTGTTTTGTTTGTTTGTTTGTTTGTTTGTCTGTCTGTCTGTCTGTCTGGCTGTTTGTTTGGGGGTGCGTGGATGTGCGGATGTGTGGGTGTGTGGTGCGTGGGTGAGAGGGTGTGGACGGGCGGGCGGGTGTGTGTGTGTGTGTGTGGGTGTGCGCGCCAGTGGGGGTGCACATGAGTCGTTTCCAAGATGACCGCCACACGCTGAGCGGCTGCATGGGAGCCCTTCTCACATCTTTTCTGCATGGCAGTCGAGCTTTGTGTGTCGCCGCAGCTCCGGCCGCCTGCGCAGCTCCGGCCGGCACATCGCTAAGCTTCCAGGTCAGAAATCTGGGCATTCAAGTTGAGTGAAAGGTTACCCTCCCCCCAATTGACATGGAACCTGACGTTCGGGTCCTGGAAGAATCTGGAAGACCGCTTTCTTAGTAAAGGGACCCCCTGTCGAGTTCCATGTGAATTGGTGGGAGGCTAGTAGTCCCACTTCTTCGGCGGGCTGGCTGGTTCCGCGATGCTGGGCGCGCTTCAAGGCCTTGCGTCCAAAGCTCCCCGCGCCTGCGGCGGTTCTGCGCTCCAAGGCCTGATGCTCCTCTTTGGCAGCGATGTACTTTGCCTGGGCGGACCCCTCTTTGAGAAGGGCGGGAGCCTTCCAAAACCCTCCTGTCAGATTCCACAATCATGATCAGTTGAATTTATGTTCACTACGAATGTTTGAGGGTGTGCACCCAGAAAACCTTCATGGCGTCAAATCGAGCACTGCATTTCCTGAGGTCTCAAGTGCTCACGGATGGTCAACCGAAACTCTATCGCATCATTTCAGGTCAAGCCACCTTGAGTCGCACATAACAACCTTTTGGAGCCAAGCCGCCATCAGCTGCGTGGATCGCAGCGAGCTATGCCACAGCATCTGCCCAACAAAATCACCTCAGTCTGCCGATTTCAGGCGCCTGCCCTTTCACGCAAAGTCACTTGCCCCAGGTATTGCTGGATCGACAAATCCGGCTGGTAGTTCCTTGCATAAGTGCGCTTCGGAAAACAACTTGCCATGTGTAACCAAGGGCACAAGTGCCCACCCCTTGGTGGCATACAACTTTGTTCTTTGCGGCCACTACAAATCTGCAGAAGCAAAGGACGGAAGAAACCAAAGAACCAAACAGCTAGTCCACATGGCCATGGGTCAAAACCCCATACCTTCAGTGAACATCCCAATCCCCACTAAAATAGACTAAAATGGGTGGTGCACCTACCCCAAGATGGTACCATCACAGCCACATCTTGTTTCTGGCAGAGGAGCGAAGGCGATTCTGCGGAAGCTGAGCACGGGCTTCGGTGAGGAAGTCCAGCAAACTCTTCCCCAGCTTCGCCCTTGGACGAATCGGCTGGGGGGGCTGTATATATATATATATGTGTGTGTGTGTGTATGTGTACATATATATATATATATCTGTGTATATATATATATATATATGAGTGTGTCTTTTTTGTGAGGGTACCTCTTGGTTTGGTGGTTTCTACTGGGAAACCATGCCAAACCAAAAGAAAACCAGCGGTTTTTGTTGGGCGGGGCCCCTTAAAAAGGGACACCCAGGTCACCGGTCAACCCCAAAGAATCATGTTCATGTTCGGCCCCGATTTCGGAACGTGTCAATGGCCGTGTTTCCCAAAAAAACCCTCGCCTCGAATGGAAACATGGACCCGCAAGGGCATGCGAAACGGGAGCGGGGAGCGGCAGCCCAACTGACTAGGGGAGCGCTTAGCTCGTGAGAACCAAAGTTTGGACGCTGCAGCGAAAAGGACGCGGGTGGACCTGCCGGGGATCTCATCGAAGTGCTCGGAAATGAAGCTGGCAGCTTCCTGCTGAAGCGCCTGCGGGCGTAAGCTGCTTAGGCAAAGAGATGCAAGCGCGGTGCAAAACGCACGATTGGGCAAAGTAAGCTCGAAATCCTGCAAGGTCACCCTTCTGGAAGCATTGGGTGGCTTTCTCTTAACAACTTGTTCTGTGATCCATCACATGTCAGAGCACCAGTCGCAAGAAAAAGCTATGTACTTTGCAATAGTTATTGTGACACGCGATGCAACTGCATCCCTCTAAGATCTGCGGAGCTTCCGTCTAACGTCTGAGAGCCTCAAGCACCCCACACCTTGTGCAATACTGCCTGTGAGCGCTTGCGAACAGCGGCAACGTCGACCAGGCGGGCAACATTCATGAGCGGATTTATAGGATCCACCACAAGCGCTCCACTGCGCATTGACTGCGACCCTTGCCAATAAGAGCGAACGCTCTCCTGCGTCACTGAATAGCTGGCCGCTCTTGATGATAGCACGCAAACGTACGTTGAATCCAAATCTCGGAGCAGTTCAAACACTTTGCACAGCGAAGCATCCAGATCCAAATGCCAGGATCCAGGGTCTTGCCAAAGTGACAGTACCGCAATCTCGACAACGTAGGAAGGCAAATAGATGTGGGCTGCCCGAAAGAAGCGATCCTTCAGTGCCTTTGCCAAAATAATAACGTTTTTGACATGCTGCGGTTGCTCTCTTATCAATCTGACCTGCTCCTTCGCTTCATTAGCGGATGAGTCTCGAAGGAGATCAAAATCTGTTGCACATCTCGACCTTTTTCCTCCATGACGAGGTTGAAATTCTTTACGACGACTAAACACTTCAAGTGCGCAACTTGCCTCCATGGAATATGTGAAAACAAGGTCCACATCCACCTTCGAGCTACTCTGTCGAAACTGGACAGACTGTCGTGTACAGCGTGCCTCATGAATCATCCACATTTGTTGAATGCACTGGCGGAAAGATTCCAGGTATGTCTCTCGACATTCACTACCACCCATGACGACTACAATGTCAACTTCCAAATGGCCTTTCAATAGTGTTCCCTTTTCGACAGAACCTCCGACTGTCACACTGTGGATGTCTGAACGCCACTCCCAGTTGTTGCTCAGCACGTTCTGCACCGATGTGGTTGCAGAGCCAATCCGGTCAAAGTCTTCCTGTGTTGGACGAACCTGCTCCAAGGGGTCGTTCCAGGACTGTGTCCAATCAACCTTCATTTACAGGATGCAGCAACGGTCGCTCACAGCCTACAAGCAGCACGGGCGAGCTTGAGCCAGGGATGAGTTCATGGAAATCCTGGCAGGCTTGCAAGGTTTTTTGTCTGGCCATAGACATGGCCCTTGCCTTGCCTCAAGAGGTCAGATCACTTGACGCCGAGACCTGGATATACCTCAAGGCTTGACCAAGGGCTAACCAGCGAATCGATGAATCCCAACGGATCGCTGAATCCAGCACCCTGGGGCCCTCGGCCCATGGCGCAACCCAAAATAGCGAACAATCCAATTGATGGAGCCACTCCAAATCAAGCAGCTTGAACCAGCATGGAGCCCTCTTTGGCGAGACATGAAATCACCTGTCAAAAGCCAAGCTACATGGCGCACGTTGGCCATTCTGACCTGTGTTTGGGTGGCTTCGAAGGGAAACCCAAGAAACATCATGTTTTGGCGCCCACTTTTGAAACACCCACCCAAATCACTTTTGCCAGGTTCCTTTTCCCTCAGATCACTAGTTCTGACATGTACCCAGTACCCTTTTTGTGGTTGTTCTGAAGGCAAAATATCTAACAAAATCTCCTCTTTTCCGGGAAGCTTCACCCATGTTGAGCCAACTCCCCCCGGTTTCCCTCCGCCTCCCAGCGCCGCTGCTCTCGCAATGCCTGGACCACCACCTCCGCGAAAGCGGCCGCGTCCTCGCGACGCAGGCGGCCAGGTGCCCATGGGGGGGGTCTGGCGATGCCGAAAAAAGAGGCACCACTACAGTTCCCAGGTCCCTTGGTACCTTCTACCCAGAGGGTCCAAGTAATTACCTTCTGAGTATGGCTTTGGGGGGGTCAAAAAAGTCTAAGTATGTTTTCTGGCAGGTACTTGGACCCTCATGGCAAGGGAAACCGCGAGCACTTAGGCAAATTTGGCATAAGCTCCAAGAATTGAGGCTTGAGATGGAGAACGAGCCCATGGGGCGGGTTCAATGCTGCGCCTGTCGAACGAAAGCGCGCAGTGACATCTGCCCAACCCCAGGTCAGCTAGCCAGCAACACACAACACAATGTTGTAGCCCTTTCAACCTGAGCAGAACCCAAAACAAACTACAGTAACATGGTTTCAACCATGTAAAGGTCTTTTTCCATTGGTGAGAGTGTTTGCCCAGAACCATCCCTGCACTCGCACACAACTAGCAACAACACCCTATCTTTGTCCCCCCCTGCTGAGAAAACAAAAAACGGCAGTGCCCTTTTCGCGAACTTCCCCGTCCTCCCCGCCATTGTCCACCACATATCCCGGGAAAGCTTCGGGATCCGCGATGCCTTCGACCCCGACCGGAGTGGTCACCACAATGGAGCCGTGCAGCATGGCCTCCAGAACCTGCCGGATTGGGCCAAGTGAGCGCCCAGAACCCCACTGTTGGCCATGTTAGTAGTTATCTGTTACTACCTGATATAAAAAGAATTAAAACCAAGGTCTCTATCCTTGTTGGGTGTTGGTCGCTGCTCAAATGGGAGGCTGAATGGGAGACCCTTTGGTGGACATCAGCCAGGCGATTCATGTCCATCAACCGCTGTGGAGGTGGTTCCCTATTGGCAAATAATTACCTCAGGATGAGTTGGTGCTTGGCGCAACTCAAAGCAAAGCCCTGGCACGGTGAAGTTCCCTCAGGCTGCCTGTCTTATGCACATTTATATGTAGATACAAGTATACATATGTATATATATATATATATGATAGCATATATACATACATGTATACATGTATATTATACAACAAATGTACAGAGACATCACATGGTCTGCTAAACTTTTGGTCACCGGCAATACGTCGACTGTATCCGAACATATCCGAGCCCCAATTCGCAGTCGGATTAGCCTGCAAAGTGCTACCAGGTTGGTACACTTTTTGACCACTTCCCCATTCGCATGGCCCTCAAAAGGGAGTGGGTAGGCAGCCCAAAGGGAAACCCTCCATTTTGGGAGACCACTAGTTAAACACACACACACATATATATATATATATATATATATATGTATATGTGCACACACACACACAGGTGCTTTTATGGGAGTCCAACCTTTCACTGTTGACCCTTCTGACCAGCTGTCTCTGCGGAGCCTTGCCCTTCACGCCGGCACCGTAGCGCAGAGGAGCAACTAGCACCTGAACTGAACAGGCCAAGGTCTGGTCTCCAGCAGATTCTGGTCGTGGACAAGGCCATGGAAGCAAAACAAACCACGGTGATACCCTGCTTTGGCAGGAAGGACTGCCAGGACACCCTTCCAAACTGGTTGCATCGAAACAGCGTGTGGAATCTTGCAAACAAGTGCTCAGCGTTGTCTGCGGGAGGTGTTTGGCCGGTTGCGCAGGCAACCTGGTAGAAAAAGAGAACCCTTTTAACTTTTGAACCGTTTGCCAGCAGAGCCAACGCTGCCTTTCTACCAGCATTTCAAATTGAAGCAGGGCAGCCCAAACAGGGCATCCGGCACAATGTGCAACAGCAGGTGGGAAACCGGTCCTGCCCAAACGGAGTCGAACCCCTTGTCGCCACCCAATGTGCAAGACGCTAGCCCGCGGTAGCCGCATTCTGATGGGGACATGGCACAGTCGTACCATACCCACTTTGACGCCACGATCGTGCCCCCATTCCACCTCATCGATTCGAGGCCAGTTGTCGCTCTCGCGACATGAAAACCACTTCCCGCCGTCGGGCCCGGCTGCGCCCATCTCCAGCCTTGTGCCTTCGCATCATGGCCTCTACGGAGCGGCAGTAGCCCCTCACCTTGGAGGCCGGGGCGCGAGAGTGCGGATGTGCGGATGGTGTCGTTGAACAAGGGCTTGGCCCAAGCCTGGTTTCCACCCCCCCCCCAACATGGAACCCGGCAAAAGGTGGAGACAAAAGTTATGCCTTGTGCCATGTTGTGGACACTGTGTCCATTACTCTTTTAGAAGACCCGTCAGCCTGCTTTGCGATCCCGTCAAGTGATTCCAGTGATCCATGAGGATTTGCGTGCTGCTATAGACCCACTAACCCACAAATACGCGCTTGGGCCAGGGTTCTTGAAACCGGAGTTTCGCCGTTAATTCGGGGTAACCATAGTAAGGAAATAAAACCGCTTCACGGGAAATAAAACCGAGGACCAGCCGGCACCATGAAAAGGCATTAAGGACATAGGCAGATCCAGCACGAAAATACAAAACAAACATGATAAATAAAAAGATACGACGGACCGGACGGGCTGGACGGATGGAGTGGATGAGCCGCATGAGCTGGGCGGACTGGACGGACTGGACGGACCGCGGACTGGACGGACCGGACGGACCGCGGACTGGACGGACCGCGGACCGGGACTCACCGGACCGGACTGGACGGAGTGCGCGGACGGGACCGCGGACCGGACGGACCGGACGGCACGGACAACGGACCGGACGGACCGCGGACCGACGGACCGGACCGGACGGACCGGACCGGACGGACCGGACGGACCGGCGGACGGACCGGACGGACTGGACGGACCGCGGACCGACGGACTGGACGGACTGGACGGACCGGACCTGGACCGGACCGGACCGTACCGGACGGACCGCGGACTGGACGGCGGACCGCGCGTGGACGAGCCGGACAGACCGGACGGACCGGCCAGACCGGACGGGAGACCAGAGCCAGACGCACCGCGAAGCGGGACACACTGCGCGTCCCAGCGTGCGGCTGCGCGGACGGACCGAAACAAGACGGCCGGACGGACCGGAGAGAGCCCAGGACCGGACTGCATGTGTATGCACCGTGTATGTATATCGCCGTGTGTAATCCTAGCGAAATTGAGACTTGAAACACGTAGATGTTTACCTTTGCTTCAGTCTCCTTCGCCTGAGTACATCGGAATACTTATGCTACTTGTGCAGAGTTTCAAGGCCAAAAAAAACTAAAAAATAGCGGGGGGGGGGGGACAGGGTTGGGTTGGGTGGCAGCCCCCCCCCATGATGATTGAAAAGTGGATCGAAAAGTTAGGGGCAAAGAATGTAAAAAATGGCTCTCGCATGATGATTGAAAAAATGATGCTTCAATTAAAGGCGCGGGGAGGGGGGTTGAGGGGGCGGCAGACCCCCCCACGGTGATCGAAAAAAGTGATGATTCAATTAAGGGCAAAAATTCTAAAAAGCCGCGGGGAGGTTGTGGGGGGCGGCAGCCCCCCCGCGCGCGGGGCGGGGGGGGGTGGGGGGGGGCCTGCAGCGCCCCCCCCGCCCACGATGATCGAAAAATGCCGACGAGGATCGAAAAAGTGCATCCCTAGCATCACCAACAAATCGTGGGAAACCAAATCCAAAAATGTAGCTGGCGGGTTAACGGGGTGAAAAAAAATAATGCTTCAAACAAAAGGGCATCTCAATCCCAGCCCCAGCCAGAAAAAAACAATAAAACAGAGCGGGGGGGGTGGCAGCCCCCCCCCCCCATGATGGTCTGATGATTAGAATAGGGGTGTAATTCGGTCTCTGCAAAATAAAGCTAAAAAGTAGCGGGGGGGGTTGGGGGGGCGGCAGCCCCCCCCATGATGTTCGAAGAATTGATGATTCAACTAGGGGCGCAATTCATTTAATCTCTGTAGAAAATCTAAAACGTAGCGGGGGGTTTGGGGCTGCCGCCCCGTGATGTCGGAAGAAGTGGTGATTCAAGTAGAGGTGCAATGATTCAAGAAAGGGTGTGATAGAATTTAAAAGGCAGCGGGAGGGTTGTTCGAAGAAATGCATACATACAGACAGACATGGACTACACAGATTACCCAAAATGTCGTATTTTGCAATATTTTCTCGCGAAATTGGTACTCGAAAAAGTGATGATTCAAACAGGGGTGCAATTCAATCTCTGCCGGGCCAGTAAAGCGTCGTATTTTACAGCATTTTCTCGCGAAATTGAACAAGTGATGATTCTAAGGGCAAAAATTCGAAAAAGATAGCGGGGGCGTGGGCCCCCCCCAATAATGATTGAAAATTTGCTGATTCAATTAAAGGCGCGGGGGGGGGGGGGGGGTTGGGGGGGCCCCCCCCATGATGATCGAAAAAGTGATGATTCAATTAAGGGAAAAAATCTAAACAGCAGCGGGTGGTTAAGGGGGGGGGCGGCAGCCCCCCCATGATGATTGAAAAAAAAGTGATGCCCCCCCCTCCATGATGATCGAACATGGGGCAAAAAAATCTAAACAGCAGCGCGGGGGTTAGGGCCCCCCCCCCCAGTGATGATTGAAAAAGTGATCCCCACCAATGATGATCGAAAAACAGTGATGATTCAATTGGTGCAAAAAGGTCCAAAATAGCCGGGGGGGGGGGGGTTGGGGCTGAAAAAAATCTAAAAAATAGCGGGGGGGGCCATGATGTTCAACAAAGTGGATCGAAAAGTTAGGGGCAAAGAGTGTAAAAAGTGGCTCTCGCACGATGATTGAAAAAATGATGATTCAAATTAAAGGCGCGGGGAGGGGGGGTTGGGGGGGGGGCGGCAGCCTTCCCTGTGCAAACATCTATGCATTTCATTCTACACTTGCCCCACGCATGCCTCTAGGCAATCAAATTGTCTACTTTCCGTGCGCGTGCCTCTATGCATTTCACTGTCTACTTTCCCTGCGCATACCTCGGCACTTGCTCTACGCGTGCCTCTCTGATTTGCACTGTGCACTTTGCTTACGCATGCCTCTATGCATTTCACTGCCTATTTTCTCTGCGCAGTTGAGCTGCGCAGAACTCAACGACTCTACTACTGCGCAATGCTTCTAGGGAAAATGTAGATACGAGCGGGCTTTCAAGCAGCAATCTTGAGCTGGGAGCGAAACAAATGTAGTATATTTTTCCATTCATGCCGTTATGCTGTTGCGTGTTATGTTTTGCGCTTGTGTAATTTGTTTTCGCGCGTACTCGGCTTAATTCTGCGCTGATGTTTGCTCCTTGTCAAGTCTTTGTTCAGTTTGAACCGAGGTTAAAACAAAAACACATGCAGGAAGGATTGTGGCGCGATAGGCATTGAGCGATTGCGGAGGCGTGTTTTATTCTTTATCTGTGTGTTTAATTTTCTTGCGCGATTCTTGCCCTGATACTTGTTCATGGGCTTTGCAGCCAAGAACTAAATAAGGTAGAGGTTGTTACGCAAAACGAGGCGTGGGGGTTGCGCGGGCTTGTTTAGTTTGTTATACGTGAGTTTTATTTTCCTACGCAATTTGCTTATTTCTGCGCACGCATTTGCTTATTTTTGCTTTCGTCATTTTTTATTTCCCCGCGAGCGCTTTTATTTCCTCGCGGAACGTCCCCCCCGTTAATTCAGCATCACCATCAAGTAAAAACTCATTCCAAATTGGTCCAAACCAGATATGGGTGGTCTTTTTTGAGGGCACCCCTTTAAAAGACACCCGAGAAGGGGCACCCTCAAGAAAAACATATTGAAACTGGCCTCAAAACGAAATACTGGCCAACTGAGCTTGGCACGAACGCGCCGCGGCTGGGATCGCTCAGCGCCGCGTCTGCGGGCGTCTGGTTGGCGCCGAACACGTTCAGCTCCTCATGGGGGGGCTCCAGTTTCAATTTGCAGCCTTCCCAACACCAAAGGAAGGTGGGAGCCTGTTGACCCATATTTGGTGTTGGCAAAGTATGCGCCCCCAACGGGAAAACAGCATTTGATCGAACGCGAAATTCCAGTGGCCCAACCTCCCTTCGCGCAGTTCCATTTTGTAGGTGAACTTGTGATCTCCTCGTCCGGCAGCTCTCGCCGCACCAAGGGCCAAACCTCCTGTATGAGCCATCTGGCGCAGTCCCGGTTTGGCCGATGTCGCCAATTCCTAAGATCTCTCTCTCTCTCTCTCGCTCTGACTGGTGCTATCCCGCGGATCCCAAATTGGGAGCAGCTGGCCCGGGAAAGTCCAACTCATGCAAGGAGGATATTGTCCTTAGAACTTGATTCAGCAATCGGGTGGTTGTACTGTATAGTACGAGGATCGCAGGCACGGGAATCCCAAACAAAAACATTCCCCCACTGGCCCCACTAAGGGGGAGTGCCAGGAGCGCAACCTCTGATCCGGGGTCCTTGATCCTAATTGAACATGGACAGGCGTGCCCCTTCCAGCTTCATAACCCTGAAGTGCATTTTCTCCTGTCATTTTTTGTGGGAGACCCACCGAAATTGTGTTTTTTCTTTTGGCCTCCCTTTAAAACCGCCGAGATTCCCAGTGCACAGACCCCTGCAGAAAGACGGCTTTCTTCTTGGAAAGGGCCTTTTTGCACTTCCATGTTAGTTGGTGGAAGGGTAATCCCTTTACCCCACCCTAACCACCCAAAAGCAAAAAAACAAAACAGAGCCCCAAAGATGCGGTCTCCAAGCAGTTCCGGAAGAAAGGGCCTTTTTTTGCACTTCCATGTTAGTTGGGAGGGTTCCGGGGGGGGAGCCGCACAGAAAACACCAAAAAACCCGGCCCCCCCCACCCAGCCGCTCATGGCCCAGCGTCCCGATGAACATGGCGCCCTCCCGCGCCGCGAAGCCGGGCGAGGAAGAGCTCGGCTTGAAGCCGAAGGGCGCGGCGAAGACCTGGCGGCTCTGCGTCCTTCCAATGGGTGTACTAAGGGTTTCTATTGGATGGAAACCTGGTTTCTAAGGGTCTCATTATTGGTTTCCATCCATGGAAACCTGGTTTCTAAGGGTCTCATCTATCAGAAACCATGGCTTCTTAGGTGCGAACTGGAGTTCGGCCACAGTGCTCCAAGGTTGTTTTTTGTCCTTCCAACTTGGGTGCTGTGGATCCCGCAGCAAAAAGTGGAAAACTTGGAGGTTAAAAGGAAAATCCTTGGGTTGAAAGGAAGCCATTGGAGAAAAAACACCATTGTGTGGTACCTCTAGTTTGAGACAAAGCCATCCGTTTGGAGTTAGACGCAGGAAGACTGTCAAGGGGCGCACTCAAGCGCGCAGCAATGCGCAGCACTCACATCAATCGGGTTGAACATCATTGCCAATCACGAACAAAAACGGAGCCGCAAACTCCTAATTCTTCAGGGAACAGGCAACACTTTTGGGGGTCTCACCACGTTTGTTCTTGAAGCAGCCAGCCAAGGAAACAAGAACCCGCCAACTGCTGCATCCAGCCTTCCAGCCCGGCACCCCATAGGTCTCCAGCAGAAGCCGCCTTTCCTCCAGCGGGAGCCCAAGCCCCCAATTTGGCGCTTCGGTGGTTTGGAGCTTGAGGGGGAGCTCCCCATGTACCAGGGCTTCAAATCCCCAAACAACCAGACTACCAATTGAATCAACCTGCGCCAAAGTGCCTGAAAATGATAGATGAACCTTTCGGATTCTGTTGGCAAACATGGGGGCATGCGGTCTAACATTGGGAATCCACGAGAAATGGTCTATCAACAAGACAAACAAAGTCGAAAGACCCGCAAGGAAAAACCAGGTTTACCGGGGCTCCATGCTAAGTGGGCGAAGGGCAGAGGTAACCAAGCTTCATCCTCAGAGATGGCCAGGGTCGCGTCGCAGCGGTGGATTGCTGCCAGCTCTCGCTGAAGATCCTCGTTGCCCGCCGCTGGCCGGAAGGTCGCCTCATGGAAATGTCGGCCGACCCTCTTTCGTGTCCGATCCAAGAAACATCTCAAACGAGGGCCCCTACGAGCTTTCAGGAAACACCCAGGAATATGTGCATTTATAAGTGTTATATCTTCATACGAACCATAAGCTCTATAAGCTCCATACCCCTAGTCACTAAGCTCCCAGGAGCTGGCGCTGCCAAGCAGCCACAGCTTCTGCAGAGGCTCCTTCAGCCACCAGCTGCTCGCGGCCTAAGGCACTTGCAAACCGCAAAACAGACTTTTCGCGCAAAGTGAAACGTACCAACAAAAACGTTGGGTTCTGCAAACGCCATGCAACCTGAATGAACAAAGATAACAGTTAACTCTATGACGATGCTCGACTGTCTTTGGAGCTCTGATTTCTGCAGCTCCCTTCTCGGCTGGAAAGTGACCACAAAGATTAAACAGCCCAAACCCTCACCCCAGGACTGGAGAATCACAGCTCCTGCAGCAACCAAGCCAGGCCCGCCTAGTCGCAAGGCGTGAAAGTCTTGCATGTCCAGCACGCGCATGGCGTCAGGCAAGGCTTCGTGCACGTAGTGGCCGAACCTGAGAAAGTGCTTGGCTAAGTGCCGTAGGGGAAAGAAAGCTATGAAACCCTCGCCGGTTTATGGCTGCATCGTTATTGCGTACAGTAGTGCTTCAATTGTGCGGGACCTCCTCTGACCCATCGTCCGCAGGGCGCGACTGGGCAATCTCAACTTACCCTTTCTGTTGGGCTAGACGATCGAAGGTTCGGAGCTGGGAGAACCTTGGTTGGCCTTGACTTGACGCCCGCAGCATAAATCAGAGCCACCCCCGTGTTTGCTCACGCATGACGAAGTACCTGCTGCCTGATTGCAAGCAGTCAGCTTCTCCGCTAAATTTTGCTGCACCAGCACGGCTTAGCGAACTAGCTCCTAAAATGTACAGAGCCTCTGCTCTGAACGTTAGAGCGGTGAATTTGCTTAATATCTATCTAGCCGCCTCTGCTGTTCCGAAGGTCCCCAGTACTGCCAGTCCCTGTTGACAATTGAAAAAGCAGAGGGAGCAAAACCATAGAGATGGCGCCGGAAACAGGACGCCACATGTGCCCCTTGCAGTACCAGTGCTGCATTGAGCTTCATCCGTCTCCAGGTGTCGGTTTCAGCTTCAGATTGCATAACTTCAACCCTCGGTGTGACTCCACTACTGGCCGCTGCCATGTCTCATCCCGTTTTCAACCTCATTACCAATTATGCTGCCTGCTCCCCACCCGGCACAATATGATTGCAGCTTCACAGGAGATGCTCAGAAAATCAACTTGGCTCAAACATGGCCACTTTTCCGCTGGGCTTCTATTTAAGAAGGAAGGGGCTTGCGTTTCTTTGACCTTCTGAAGGGGAATAAAATAAAAACACCATCTTCGGGGGGTCCAAAGCCCCAAATGCAGCCGGCCCGCCTCTCTTCCGCATTGAAGCCATCGAAGAGCACAAGGCTCGGGCGGCCAGCGGCTTCCTTGCTCGAGAAAACCGTGGAAAGGTCGACTTCAACACCCAAGAAAACCGTGGAAAGGCCCCTCCCATCGGTGTTTTGTTTGCCTGAATACAAACCCACATATGTATATATAAATACAAATATAAATGTATATATATATATATATTTATTTATACATATATACATAAAACATTATAATATATATATATATATATATGGCAGTTGATCAATATTCCTGTTTCCGGAAAACGCCATCTTCGCGAGAAAAAAAGTTTCTTTCGCGAATCTTTCGCGACCCCATCGCCACGCCCTTTTGTTTGCAGCGTGCGCTCTGGAGCCATTGTGGCTGCTGCAGCTGTGCTTGCAAACACGGTAGTCGCAGTTCACTTGCGTGCAGTACGTAGTGTCAAGTGCAGGCAGTCACCGTCGTTCGCCCTTGCCACTTGCGGTTGCCGGCGATGTGCGGAACCTTGCAACAAGCTCCCTGGTCTTTCGCCGGTCTTTCGCGGATCTTTCGCGAAACTTGCTCCAAAATAGCCCAGCCAACGTTATTGATTTGCACCAATCCCAACACAGGCAGGGAATCAATAATGCAAGTGTAGGTGCTGCGTATCTCCCTCTCTACAAGGGAGCGGGGTCTGCAAATATGCAAGTGCACAGGCAGGCCTCCAAGAATTCAACGCGGAATCTTTCGCGGAAAAAAAAAAAAGTTTCTTTCGCGAACTCCATCGCCGATCTTTCGCGGAGGGATTTAAGCCAAGACGAATGGTCACCGAATACATCACTCCTTGCAAGGACCTTTTGATCAACCCCCATATATAGATATACATGTATGCAATATATTAGCTTGGATAGGCGCAATATGGAGCATGATCTGAACATATTTTCGGTGTTGGGCCCAGTTCTTGCTCGTACGAGCTATGAAGTACGTTCGGAACCCTTCACAAACATCTACGAAGCGCAGCCATCTACGGTCACAAGCTTCATCTGCTTTGTAAGCTGCTTGTTTGTGTTCGGTACACACGCCTGCATGGCGAGCACGAAAGTGGAGAGGGGGGGCAATGCAGCGCAGCAGGATGCGCGAGTCCTGCTGTCTTGTGCTGAGGCCAACATGCATTAAGGGCTTCTGCCGGGAGTCCAGCGCAGCAAGAACTGATGCTTCATCATTCAGCTTGATACCTTGGCCACCAGCCAAAAAAAGAACACACAAAAACATAGGATCACAGCATTCTGTACTCACGAGTCAGCACATCCAGGCCATGAAACGCGCAAACTATTTCTCAAGCCATCTTGGAAAATGCCAGCATGGCCAGGTTGCGGATGCACTTCACATCATTTGCCGCTGACCTAACAAGGCATGTTGAGCGGGAGCACCGGGTGGAAAAAACAGTTTCCCGCGCTTCCAGGAACCAACGCTACTTTGCCAGCCTTCGACCCCCTGCAGAAGTGAACTTTCTGCTGGTTCCATGGGACCATGAAGGAAACCCTATCCAGGAAACGCGTGAGTGAAGCCTGGCAATGACTAAATGAAGCTAATCCGCTGGCAACAGTAACGACGACGGCCGCGATGAGAACAACAGTCATGTTCAAGCAAGCCTGTCAAGTTGAGATCTACCATAATGCCAACAACACAGCAGTCCTGACTGTTAATGGAGGATCAGCCCTCTGCTGGCTTGCCATCTTTGAACTGCCAGAAATCCCGCTTGGCCCAATCCAAACATCACATCTGACGGATCTCAGTCTCCGGCAGCTTCCCTTGAGCGTTCCCAGGCCGGGCCGGGGATGCGAATGTGATGGCCCCCTCCTGGCCACTGGGCAAAGATCCCTTCCCATAGTATCTTAGACTATCTTCTTCTCTCTGTTTGCGTGGATCGGCAAATCAAAGTCCAAACTTTCTTTTTCTCACTAAACTGGTCTTCCCCAAACAACTCTTCAAGTCCAGCACCTCAACTTCAGCAGACACGAGGCCTCGTCCCGAAACCGTCGGCTCCTCCCCGGCCAGACGCCGCAGCACCCGGAGCCGCCCGGAGGTGACCCGGCCCGCCGCGGAGACTTCCGGGTCCGGCCAGTTGGTGCTGATGACCTCAGCGCGCGGCGCTCGGAAGAGGGGGGGGGGTGGGGGGTGGGAGCGCCACACACGCGGCTAGGGGAGCCGGGGGGCCCACGGAACCCGAACCCTCGGAACCACAGGCCTTGCGAATTCAGGCTCAGACACCACTGGTCTTACAGCCCCTGGGCTCTAGGTTCGTGCGACGTTGTGCTTTGGGAATGCTTGGGAGGGTATGCTAGGTTCTGGCCCGCGCTTGGTGAAGCTTGAATGCAACACCTGTGTCAACAGAATTGCCAAAAGGCGGCAGCAGGACAGCATTCAGTGGTTGCATAGCAGCCGAAATGCTGGGTGCCGCTTACGGAAACCTTGGGAAACAGTGAATGCCAGCTTCGAAAGGGGTGCAAAAATGGGTCCGCAAATTGAACACACACATGTTGGCCACGAGCTTGGCCCTTCCAACAAGCTGAAAACTGGACAGGCGCATGCGAGAATCTCACCTCTGCATCTGAATGTGCAAACCTGACCTACGTTGCACCGGCGGGCACATAACTCAAGGCGCAGTGCTTTACTCAAGCTTGTGGTTCAATTCAGGTAAGGCCCACATATCACATATGAGCAAATCAGCACACAATTCCTGCACTGCTACTGCTTCGATCTGGACTTTTGATACCTAGGTGAAAACGACAATACAAACATTAGCCGGGAACGAACCATGAGGCGTAGCAATATCTATCATGGCCAAACATAGGCAGAACGCTGGCATCGCTAGGCCAAAGTGTATTCACAAACATTGTTTCTCGAATATAAATTTGGATTGTATGATGTTGATGTTTGGCAGATGTAAACAATTTTTGTATCTGCTGCATTTTGGTGACTTGTGCTTGCTGATTCTTGGTGCCAGGTAGCCTTGGAGAAACCGGGGGTTTGCATAAAAATCCAGAGCATCCCAAAGAGGGCATCCCAAAGTGCGGAAGCAAGCATGAGCAAACTGTGGTGACATCATCGACCAGGTTCGGCCAAAACAAATCGCGCCCACCATCCAGTGCTAGTCAAGGACATCGATCAAATTGCCATCCAACTTGGTCACAATGCATCTTTAGAGGGTCTTCCCCTACGCATAATCTGAATCGTGCACACTCTTGGCTTTAGCGCCGACTTTGAAACCAGCACAGCTTTTGTGGTGTTTGGCCTGCACGGTGCTTTGGCAAGAATGCAATGTGCCTCAACAAAGAAGCAAGCCTGAGAAGATAACAGTCGCAAAAAACAAGTGCTTCCGCAAAAAAATCGCAAACCCATTGCAAAACTTTGGAAGGAGTCGCACGCGCAAACGTTTACTGAAGACAAAGCTCTGTACAAGGCCCTTCCAGAGCCTGCCCCGGGAACAGATAAGACCCCACAGCTGAGTCACGGGACGGACTTAAATCGGCGGTTCCGCCGCTACTTATGGTTGGGATTGTCCCTTCATCTACCCGAATCGGTTTTGAGCCAGTGGCTCAACTGGCAGAGGTTTTTCGGCCGCGCCGCCATCGCTTTCAGGTGCGGCCTTTCTGCTCCGGAAAGAAGGCCTGCCATGGGAGAAGGGGAAGCCAAGACCTTTTCGTCCAACGGGGTCAGACGGTCAGACGGTCAGACGGGGTCAGAGGGGCACGGCCTCGTCTTGGATTTAGGATTTTAGGTTTAGGCTGGGCGAGCTTTCCGAAAGCCAGCTGCATGCAGAGTCCAAGGTAAAAGCCCAGAAGGGCAAAACGGCAAAACACCGACCAACCAAGCTTTCGAGCATGCGGCGATCCTGGATCAAGCCCACCAGTAGCCACCACGTGAAAAAGAACAATAGTGTCTTGCCAATGAGCGAACAATAGTGTCTTGTGCCAATGAGCCAATGATCGTCGCTTGTCACTGGCTCGGAAGCCTGAATGGCAACACCCCGGGCTTTGGAGGTCAGGTTCCCTTTGGTGTCGTGCCAGGTCGTGCCATAGTGACGCTGTCAAAATAAACCGTTCAGAAGGGGGAAAAGGAAACCTATACCTGATACTGTCGACCACGGATTCATCGGAATAAACAGAGCGTGGTTCCCCAAAAATGTGAGAGAAGTTCCTTCCCATTCACGAACCATCTTGCAGCTTCCGTACTAATAGTGAGTTGGTCTCAAAATTGGAACCCCCAAGCTTCCCTTCAAAGCAACCATCATGGGCGTTTGGCAAACAACAACCAGGAATCCATACCAGCACCAGTTAAGGACTGATTTTGCAGCAATTCGGGTTGTGGACATGGGGAGAAGCAGTTGGAGAGACTGGTACAGCTTCCAGCCTCCGTCCAATGGCCTGCCCTTGAAACCAGCCCCAAAATGGGTGCCCTCATCCTCCATTTGTTTAAGTCCCCTGGAAAAAAATATTCCCAGTAGTGATAGATTCCCTTTAAAAACCAACAGGCAAAATAAAAACAAACATATTCTTGAGCAAATGGAAGAACACACACACACACACCACACACTTGGACTGCCCCCGTCGGCCTTCCGCCTGCCGAGCTTTGGCTTGATCGGCACCCCGCACGCGGCGGAAGATGATGGCCGTGCGGCGCTCGCTGAGGAAATCCTCCTCGGACACGGGCACGGGCACTTGGAAACGGCCGGTCGGTTGTCTCACGATGACTTGGTTGCTGTAACGACCCCCCCGCACAGAGTTCTTCACTTTTTGGGGGTTTGGGGGAAACCCCTTGATTTCCATGGAGGGGCTGGACTGTTTTTGTTTTGGTTCGATTTGTTGTGATGTGGCAGCATGTGGCCGCCATCTGGAGGTTTTTGAGTTCCTAGTTTGTTTCAAAATGAGGGACTCAGGGTGGTTTCGTTTCTTGTTGTCTCCAAGTGTGGAACTTCCTTTTGATTTCCCTTTTCCCCGCCTCCCCCTCCCCGAAAAACTAGGTTTCCCATTTCGAGACAGGCCCCTACCGATATTGAGGCCCGCTTTCGGATGGCTTTCCCTACTGTACAGCCCTCATATGGCTGTGGGTCAAAACCAATGGCACCGTTGTGGGGTAAGTGCACCAGCCATTCTAAGTCCGTTTTAGTGGTTGGAGTGGGATGTTCACCGGGCGCACGATTTGGATTTTGACCCATGGCCCTATCGCCGAGTCGAAAAAAAGCGAGTGAGCCGTTGGCTTCCCGAGGCTCCCTCGCAGCCAAGGCGCCGTCTCCGGAATCCCGTGCTGCCACTCATAGCCTAGGTCTGGGCGTCGTATTTTGAGTCGGCGCCCTCTTCCTTCAAGTTTTGAAGGGAAAGCACAAGGGTGCCGTCTGTTTTGAGAATCCCCCTATTTGCTCGGCTTAAGGAGATCAACTAGTATTTCAGTGTGTTTCGACTGGCCCAAACGCACGCGTTGGCTCCAACCCCACTTCTGCAGCCAACCACGCGTTGGCTCAACGAGCCGTGGGGCACAAACTTGAGAGCCGATGAATCTCAGTGTGGTGAGCCTGTGAGCACCAGGCACCAGCAGCCTGAATGTAACATGGCTGTGGGTCAAACATAGGTACCCCAAATGGAACCCTGGCAAATGGAAACATGGACTCAAACCTGCGGTCCCCTGGTCACATGAACAAAACGGCAACCCCTGGACCCCAAGAAAGCGAGCCCCCACTTATTTCTGAATGATTTGAATGCGATGTGAGCAACCCGCCTCCCAATTCCGTCTTTTGCCAATCTGCGTGCAGCGCCCCGCAGCACCAGCAGCGACAAAGGCGGCACCCGCACCCGAACTGTGGGCGCCTCATCAGTGCCGTCACCTGCAGCTTCAGAGCCTTTGCCAACTGTCTCAAAGTGCGGACATGGATCCACCAAAATGGCAAGGGGGCTGCTCTGTGCACTAGTCACTTGGCGCCGCGCCCCCTTTCTGGTTCATGCCGAACAGAACAAACGTAATGCCTGTATGGAGGTGCACGGAGTGGCCTTTGGTGTTGTGATTCGTTTTGGCGCAGTGCTTTCGAGTGCGCGTGCGCGCGTTGGCTGAAAAAAATGGGACCAAATGCCACTAATGTAGGCTTTAAAAGCATGAACAGCTGTGAGATGCTCGGGGAACAACACGGTTTCTGCCCTTGTTGCGTGTTTTGGCACAGACTTACTCAGGGCAAGGAAGTGATTGCAAAGGCCCCATCTAGCCCGTCCCAGTTGCTCAGGAACCCTAGAAACCGTGAAGCCTTTTGCAGAGTAGAATCCCGCAGGCAGGCTCAGTCTTGGGCGTCTCCAGGGCCCCCGTGCTTCCCCCCTTAAACCGAGGCGCGCTGGAAGGACTCCCTGGAATTGCCCAGAAGGTGTCCAAAACGGTTGAGCAACCATCTCCCCCCAGCAGGGTTGAGTCCTAGCACCTCCAAAGACACCCTTCATGACCCTCGAAAAACCCAAAGACGAAGACATACAGAACCCCGCCCCAGCACGTCCCCCCCCCCCCACCCACCCTTTCGCGCCCTGCCTGCTTCTGGCGCCTTCAAGTTGGACCGCCCGCCCAGGCGGAAGGTCATGACGCAGTCCCCCTGCACCGTCACGGAGCAAACCGGCTCCTGAAGCTTTGCTGGTGGTTGCCTGGGAAAGAATAGGCGTTTGCCTGTAACAAAGGGAAGCTCCGTTGCAAAACACCGAAACATGGCTGGCGACCTACACGGGAAACTGGTCCACTGGGTTATGCTTCTTGGCACATCATGCCGGGGAAACCCAAAGGCCGGTTGAACATTCTCAGCCGAAAGCGAACCCGCCCAGAAACAACCAGACCAGCGTGCCGTTGGTTCAACATGCTTGACCTGAAGAAACAGATGGCGAGCAGAAAGCACAAGCCGTTGAACACTGGGCAACTGGGGCTCCTCATAGAGACCCCGGTCGTCCCAATGCAGAAGCAATCGGGAGGATGCCTGGCTGTAGGCGTTGACATTCGCCTCCACAAGCGGCGTTGAACGGACTCGTGGACACATGCCACGCGCTCGGGAGATGTGTCGTCCGGCAATCAATCGTACAGTGCTAAGGTCAAACCTGTAAGATGTTACCAAACCATTGTGCCATTCCAATACTTGAAACCGCCGGGTTGGCACTTCCTGCCTTTCCGCCAAGAAGCACATAAAATGATCATAAAACCCCGGCTGTCTCACACCTAATGACGTGGGCCACACATGGATTTCAGGCTGTTGGTCGGCCAACCCCCCCCCCCTCCTGGCCCAGTCAGCTTCCGCCTCGTTTGGCTGGAAGCCCTTGAGGACTTTGCTCCAGGGCAGGCCCGGCTGCCCCAGGCGCTGGGCGACCTGCGAGCTTGGCCGTGGGGCGATTTCACCATGTTGCACTAACATCCTAACCCCAGGCCCACGTGGATGGCTGGTTCTAACATGTTGAGATGTTTTTAAGATGGCATCATGTTGGATGGCATAACTTCCTCATGTTAAGATGGCATCATGTTGGATGGTTCTTCTAAAATCCATGCCGCAGAGAAACCTTCTCAGGCGGTTAAAGATGGCATCGTCGTCCACTATATAGTCATGGAGACGTATGCTGCTGCAGCTGCTGCTGCACATGATAGGCCCACGTAAGGCTGGTTGCCAAAACGAGCGGCGCCTGCAAAAGGTGGCAACCCGTCCCGTTGAGTTCCAAGCTTCGAATTGTTCACTGTTGCGATACAAAGTCGTGCGAATCCCCGGCGCATCAAGGCTTCCACCAAATGCTGTTCGGCCCAAGTGTAGGGATGGCAGTCGGCCGGCCCCCGCCTCAGCCATGATGCCCTCGGCGGGCATGTCCACTTCACCCTTCTCGGGGTCAGGCAGTCCTAGGCCAAAAAATCGCGTAGGACGGCGGGCCAGGAGAATGTCTTTGGACCCCCTCGAAGCTTTGCTGGTGCTCAGTAGGGGAATGACCGTTCCGGGTGTTGGGAATGAACCTGGAAATTCCCTTAAAGGAAGCCATTGGCGATGGCCTGTAGGGGTCATTCCAACTCATCCCCTGCCTATCGAACCTGCAAGAACCAGACATGGCACGTCAACAAACACGACTCCCGACTCCCGCCAAGCATCGCACCACCCTTGGCCTCAGAGAGCCCAGGATGCCGAAATGCTTCACCTCAAGGGCCAAAGTCCCATGCTTGCCCTTCGGGGTCCGTGACGCTTGAAATGAGAGCTATTGGATTGTTAGACGTGGGAGAAAGACCTCTGGCCCCGCGTTTTTTTTCCCATAAAAACGAGCTGCTCGGTACAGCGTGGGCACGCCAAACTGCTCCTTGGTCCAGGAGGGCTCCTTCGTGTCCAGGAACTGCGCCAGCTGCTCGCCTCACGGAAGCCCGAAAACGGAATAGTCTGGTTGCCCGAAGCGATGGCACAAATAGAGCACTTTGCACGGAGCCCAAAGAAGTGCCTCCCCAAGCAGATTCCCCTACAACACAAGACGTGTTTTCTGGCCTTCGTATCAACAGCGACTTTGGGCTGACCCCCCCCTTCCGCCTTCCGCCTCGCTGAGGAAGCCTGGCCAAAGACGCAGCCCAGGGACCAACTTCTCAGCCTGCTCTGCCTGCGAGTTCCCGTTTTGCCCTCCACACAAAATGGGAGGGGGGGGTCACAAATTTGCAACCTAACAAATTGAAGGTCAACACGGTTGTTCTCAGAATGCTGCGGTTTCTTGAGGGGGAATGAACATTTTGAGGGCAATGTTCAGGATGGCACTTTTATGGATCTAGCACAATGTTGCCGGAAACCAGCAAACAAAAGGGGTCTCAACATCTGGTTTGTTGCGAATTAACACCATGTTTGGGCCAAGTGTTGCTTGAGGGACCCGTGGTTGTAGGTCAAGGGCCAAACGACTTGTCGGGGAAACAGAGGGTAATCATGGCATTTGCATGCGCCGTTCCATATGTTTCCCTTTACGTTTAGTCACGTCCCCAACTGTTTGCCAAATGTTCTGTATGTATGTTGGTGTGGACCTACAAGATTTGGGCCCTTCGGCCAAGCTTGGAAGGCTGCAACCCTTGACTGAAGCTCACCCCGTTATTAACTGGGGTTGGAACCCTGGTGGCGAAGCACTTACTTTTGCTCCAAATGGGTTGTAGCAAAATGGCTTCCAAAGGATGCCGCGCACATGATTGTCCTTTGGCACAAGCGATCGGAAGCCGCTTATTGGAATCTGCTTAGGGTCCCCTGATTCGTCGAACATCCAAATCTTGGCCCACATCTGGGGTACGCAGTAAGAATGCAGAATATTTCCTGACTCTGTTCCATAGCTTGCCCACCCTAAAATGGCCTAAAATAAAACAAGTTCAGAAGGAGACTCCGGTAACTTGGTCAAACATCCAAGGGACATGCGCGCTCGACTCCGTCCGCCTGAACGGTCCCGCAGCAAAACCTCACCGATCTTCGCCGGGCCTTGGCCACTCCTGAAGACGGGTTTTCGTGGTCGTTGGTCCCGATTTCCATCATCTAGGGCAGGGGGTCCCAAAGGAGCCTCTTTTTTGGGATTGACCTTTGGCCATGCGTTAAAACCCCGTACCCCCAGTGAACATCCCAATCCCCACTAAAATAGACTAAAATTGCCCAAAATGGTACCATTAATGGTTTTGACCCACTGCCATTTTGTTAGAGGGAACCCAGACCAACAAATCATAACATAGCGCAACCCCACATGCCAAAATTTGCGACCCGCCTGCAGCGCACAACCTCAGCCGACGTGGGGCGCTGAGTCCCACCGCCTCGCCGGTCGCCTGCCTTGACACGGTGCCTCATTACGCTCACTTCCTAAGTGGATGTGCCAAGTCTAAACAGTTGGCCTTTCCCAAAAGGCCCGAAATGTATGAAGACTCGACGCCTGTCGACGCGAGGTGAACAGTCCGGATATGCAACCCCCCTCTCATAGGCCTCTGAGCGCTTAAGGGCCTCCGGCTTGGACTCCATCATCTGGAGTTGGTTGCTTTTTGTGTTGCTTTCCCGAAAGCTCCAGTGGGCATATAGTTCACCAACCCATTGGAAAACAATGGAGTTGGTTCCACCGGAGCTACGTCCACTGCTGCAATTGCTTGCTTCCACCATTTGGCACGCCCAAGCGGTGTCCAAACAGCTCCCACCATAGGTGCCCTTTTAGGGGAAATAGATGGCCCTGGTAGATGATTAAAGCACCCTATCATGTTCCCATTCAACGTTTTTCGTTCCATGTGTTCTTCTGCCGTACAAGTATGATATGTAGTCTAGACTAGAATGTTTGGCACGACAGACAATCCGGCTGGTTTATTTAGTGTATTCGACTAATTAGTTTTGAAATTGAAATCCTGGACGCTGGACTTGGTTCGCTTGTCATGAACGTGACAAATTCGCAGACCGATCTCATGTCGCGCGGTACAGCTAGCACATGGAACCACAGCAGTACTGCTGTAGCAGTATTGCAGTCGGCAACGGGGATACGCTATGTTCGACGATGCAAACGAGGTCATGATCGCGCATAGCCGAGTAGTACTAGGCTTCCGGGTATGTCGCGTGGCTGTTGCTCCCAGCGCGACATCGGTAAACCAGGGCCACTTATTTTATACCAAAACAACCAAAAAGGACACCTATGGCTCCCACAACAAATGGTCCAATTGGCTGATGCCCCGAAAACGGCGGCAAAATGATTCCTTCGAACCCAAGGCCCCTTTAGCTCCCTTTAGCTCCCTTTAGCTCCCTCAGTCCCCTCAGTCCTCAGATTTCTTGGGCCCCCGACGCCAGGGCGCGCAAGGAGTGCCAGGCCTCGGCGAAAGCATCTCGCGATCGGCAAAGGCCGAGCCATGAGTTGGAATAAGGACCAGTATTTTAGGTGTTCAATTGGCTGGCCCAATATCCACTCCGCTAAAAGGGTGAAAAAAAACAATAGAACCAGTCCAAACACATCAAGCGGCCTGAACAAATCGTCTCTAACTGGTACGTTCGTTTGGCAGACAAAGTAAATCACGCGCTAGCACTTTCTGGAAGACCAGGCCTTTCACAACTGCCCCCCCCCAAAGCCCTCCACAGTTCAGGCCAGATTTGGCCTCGCTTAGCCGTCATTGCCTGAATTAAGCACCTCACAGCAGTGCCCTGCGCGCCGCCCGCGCGGCGCACCTGCGCCTTGGCAGGGCGGGGGAAAGAGATGTACGGATTTTCGAGGGAGTCAGTCGTCCGTATTAGGGTGGCAGGGGTTGTTGTTCCTCAGCCAAATGGATCTGGAAAGCATTGCTAAGCCACCAACCGCAAACTGTGCCTTAGACTTCGCCGTGTTCCTCTGCAATTTAGGGAAATAGTACAGTAAGCAGGTCGGCTCCTGCCCGCACATGGGATTGACCACACGTTTTGCATCTAGGGCAGTCGTTTGGAAAGCAATTGGCCACCCCCCTCAGCCAAGTATATATATATATATGTATAGAGAGAGAGACCGTCCTGCTTGAACAGCGAGAAGCCAACCGTACGGAGTCCATTCAGGTAGATTCTTCTTCAAAATTGTCCCTCTAACTGGTCGAAAAGGGGACCACCCCCCAAAGTAAACTTAAGCACTGAGGAGTCCTCACAACCACTTCAAGGAACCCAGCCCTTTGCAGCATGATCAACTGTCCAACCGCAGCTGGGTCGCAGCAATGCCAGTGGTTCGCACTGCTGCAGGGAACGCGGGCAACGGACCGCGGGCCAAGGATAAAGCCATGTGAACAGCAGCTGAGGAGGCTGTGGCTGAAAATTCAGGACGCAGAATCCTTGTTTTCGTTTGGATGGCGACGCGCACCGGGGAACTCCCGAGATGGTTTGCATGTTCGTGTGATGAATTAGAATCTGCATTGCCTTGCTAGTTCCCAGAAGGAAATGAGGGAATGACCCCTATGCACGATCCGCGATGGGTTCCTTTAAGGGAATCCCTAAATTTGTTCCTATCACCCCGGGGCATTCCCTGAGCACCAGCAAGTTGCTGCTTGCACCTGAAGCTGCCAACACCCCTGTTGAGCCGAAAGCCGATGCATGCCGAATGAATGCAGAGCCTGCGCTGCCGGTGCAACATGACAGCCGGGCTCCTGTGAGGAACTGCGGACAAGTGCCACCTCCTCCTCTTCCGCTTTCCGCTTTGCTTCCTCCTCAGCTTTCCTCTTCATTTCCTCTTCCTCAGCTTTGCGACTTGCCTCCTCTTCAGCCTTCTGCTTCGCCTCCTCCTCTACCTTCCGCTGTGCCTGCAAGCGCGACGTTGCAGCCAGCGGCAGCTGTTTTTGCGGACTGCTGCAGCGCAGTCTAAGCACCATTTCTCTCCGCCGACGACGCCGCTTTTTGTGGCGCTCGCTGACACACACACACACACACACACACCGCGGGCCTATCTATGGTTGCCTGGTTGGCCACTTGTGGCATCCAAAAGGGACAGTATGTATGTAATACAGCCGGCGGTTACAGCCCACGTAGGGCCAAAACCTGCATTTCGGTGAGGAAGCTGGGCACATTCCACTCCCAAAGGCCCCCAGCCTCGCATGCAGCCACTGCCTGGCTGCACGTCAGTACGTCGCACACCTGCGCGCCGTTGCGAATGGGGCAACCGGCCCCCAAACAGTCAGGGCAATGCAGCCAACACCTCCTTAAGGGATGCTTCAAATCAAGAACCGGCAGTTTGTTCAGATTGTTCAAACACGCGCGCGCGCACGGAAACTAGCAACACTTGTGTAAGCCAATGCTCGATTTGGCCCGGTTGCATCAAAACACCTGACTGAAAATCGTGTATCCCCAGTTTGGTGTACCGTTTGCCAACCAATTAAATGAAGAACGCTACACATGGGGGCCTTTAATTTCCGCCCGTAAGGGTTGAACCTGTTGGTGGTACCTTGATGAGTGTGCCCCTGCCATTGCTCACATGGGTGTGTGCTTCTTTCAAGGTACTCTGCTCACCTTGGTTTGAAAGTAAACCAAGGGACAACCACAATTTTTGGAAAACCGAGGGAAGACCAGGGAAATCCCTTTTTTTCGCACTCCCCCGTCCCTTTGCTCATTGCCTGGGTGGACAGCTTGAGCTCCGCAACCAGGTGCAGGGTATGGCGCCACTGCAGGCCACACTGGCAGGCGGTGATGGCGCCGTTGTAGGTGAGCAAATTGCCCAGGACCCCCGACTGCCGCATCTGCCGCAGCAGCCTGGCGCCCAGAATCTGGAATGCGTTTTTTTGGTGTGTGGCCGTGGCCGGCTGGCTGGAAACACCAAAAAACGCCGGGCCACAATGAACCAAGGCATTGAGACAGATGGGAAGCTCAAAGCCTCAAGGTCCTCAGGTTTGGGATCGGCGTTCAAGATGGCGAAAACCGGGTCCTTTGCTTCGCGAACCGACCCCAAAGGAAGCTCAATTGGATTCATGTCTGGCTAAGGGCGGGTCAACTCTTGCTACAACCAACGAGACATGAACCAGTCGATTTGATTTCCTTGTTTTTTTTCGACTCGCAATACAAACAAATCGGTTGCCAGCCAATGGCGAACCAGTCATTTGCTCAGGCTAAAAGCTACTTCCGCCAAGCAACAGCAACCAAGGTTCCTTCAAGTGACCCAGATCGATGCCAACGAACTCTTGGCCAAATTGACCCGGCCCCTTGCACCAACTTTCAGTAAAAGCAACGAGAACTGCAGGAAACCTTAAAGGGCCAACAAAACTAAAACGACGTGGCAAAAGTCTGGCTATGTCCCTTCCTTGAACCAACACAAAAATATAGGGACACAACACAAGCAAACGCAAGCACGTACACACGCAAGCAAGCAATCAACGCAAAGAAAGAAAGCAAGTAAGACAGCAAGCAAGCAACGCACATGGTTCCCACACAATTCCACAGCCTAATACTTCGGATCGAGGGGCTCCAGCGACCTCTGCCAAAGGCTGCAGCTTTCAAGGGCGCCCACTAAGGCCCCATAGGTCACCACCGTGACCTCCAGCTGCTGCGTTGTGATCTGGTCCTCGGCGCGGTTTTTAGTTGTTCGCCCGGTGACTCGGTGAGCACCTGCGAAGGGCCGTCACGTGAGTCACAATCAAAACCCGGTATTAAAATGGTTCACCCATTGCAGAATTTAGAAGGTGGCCCCAGCTATTTCTGATTGGGATCGTCCTTTACTAACCTTCATCTACCCGGGTTTTGATTGTGACTCACATGGCACGCTAAGTGCCACCCCTGACTGACTGCACACCCCTGACCAGCACCGCCACAGCACCACCACAGCACCTGAGGCACGCAAACAGCCTGACAACACCACTGACCAGCACCGCGACCACCACCCTCTGCAGCGCCAAACAAGCACCGCCAATCACACAAACAGCATTCTGACCGCCACCCTGACCACCATGCACCCGCAGCACCCATGGCGGCGCGAATTCACTGACAAACCGGCCTCGAAAGAAGAGGGAACCCAGCAACAGCTATCTGGGCAAAGCACAGGGATTTCGAGGATGGAATCCACTCAACAACCTGAGGTTCTCAGCAGGGATTTTGGGAATCAACTCGAAAGGAACCAAACACAAGGGTCGGCTGCGATCCGATTCCACAGAAAAGGCAAGAAACAAACCGCTCTCACTGCCTCCTTGTTTACCTCACTTCCTGAGTGGTTTCTTGCACTTTTTTGTTTGCCACCAACATGGTCTTCCCAAAATGTTTTAAGCCCAGGAACTCGGGAAGTAAGCTACATGGCTGTGGGTCAAAAATAAAATAGGTACCCAAAATGGCACCCTGGTAAATGGAAACACTGACTAAAACCTGTGGTCCCATGGCGGTTTTTATTTCTTGACCCATACCCATATGGCTGTGGCTCAAAAAACCGGAATTCCAAAATGGGTTGCCCTGGTAAGTGGAAACCTGGACCAAAACCTGCGGTTTGCCCCTCCTGGTTAATTTTGAGCCACCGCCATATGGCTGTGACATACCTCTCGTAGATTCAACCAAAGGATGCTCTTCTTATCCCAGTCCCTCGGTGCGGGAAGCCGAGCTTCCAAGAGAGCCAGGGCTGCTTGCCACGCGCCTGGGAAACCATCTCCGAAAAGCGGCGACTTCTTCGGTTTGAAAGGGACCACGGCTCCGGAAAACGAAAACAAAAAGTGAAAAAAATAGACGCGACAGCTGAGTGGGTGTGTCAAACTAGGGGGAGCTAAACAACCAGTGCTGGTGTCGCTTTAAACCTGAATATCCTGATTAGGGCACCCTCCAAGACAAAAACGCCCAAGTCTGGCAATGTTGCCTCCCTTCTGGCAAGCGCTGATGGCCGCATTGCAGGAGATCACGTCCCTGCGGAGCTGCGCGGCCGTCATTCCTTCCAGCAAGAGGGCCGCAGTCTGCCACTGCCCCGCCTTTTCGCAGGCACTGACCATCGAGTTGTAAGTGACCTGACTTGGAAGCCGAAGGAAAAGCATGCCCGTTTTAAGGTCGTAAGTTTGCCACTCGAATTGGAGCGAAGAAGAAAAGCAAGTCGCTCATTCTCTTTCGAAACCTTTCATATCCTGTTCCTTCGCGGCTTTCGACCGTGAAATCTCAGGAAAATTGGACGAGAAGAGTTCAATTCACCGCGTGCCCAAATCTCTGTCCCGTGAAGGTGCCACTGAGGCCAGGTGACCAAGGTGGGCTGTAGCGACTCGCTTTGAAGGCGTTGAAGAAGCGTCAAGGCCTGCTGCCACTCCTGCAGTGGGGCAAGCAGTTCTTTGAACACCAGTTATTCTAGGGGTACCCAGGGATCCTTCTCTTCAGGAAACCATCAAACACCCAGGGAAACAGCTGGTTTTTGCAAAGAACGATGGTTGAAAAGAATGGGGAATCAACCCCTGGAGTTATCCAAACATTGCGGTCTTTTACCTCCCTTCGACGCTGGCCGCGGTCTTTTTGAAACACAAATTGCCGAACCCTACACTCCTTGCCCTTTTCACAGGCGCTGATGGCCGCGTTGAAAAGGATCGCGTCTGCCCGGAGCTCACCTGGGTATCTGCATGATGGGCAAGATTTAAGCCCATGCCCTAATAGCCTAAGGAAAGCATGGAAGGGCGGGACGGCCCAATGACGGGCGGTCATCCCCTTTCCAATGACAGGGACAAACCTCATCCTGAGGATGAGAAATAATGTAAACTCAGTTATCGATTGGACACCCTTGGGGGGGAGAGGTTCCCACCGCTTTCCCTTCGACATTAAAGCTTGGCGCAAATTAATTGCAGGACAGCCTCATACATCACCTGGGTAACAAAAAAAAACACCCGACAAGGACAAACGCCGAAAGCTACTCAAGGGATGAAAAAGGATTTGCTTCCGTCGGGTGTGAAAGTTGACAATACCGGGTCAAACCGAGCTTGTGTTGGTCAACAAAGGGGACTTAGGGAAACCAACATGCCAAATGTTGCAAAGGCTGGCGCGGAGGGTCCTGGAAAGCAGTTCTCCTCAGGGGACGGGGGTAGGGAAGCTACGCCAACATGCACCACCTCCTTTATTTGGGCAAGTGGCGACCCAACCAAACTGGGGGAATTCTGCCACCCACTTTCACCCAACCGCAACCATTGCTATTAAAACAAAGGGCTTGCCCCACAAAAACGACCACCATCCACAACTCCCGTGTTCCCTCCAATTTTTTTCCGGGTACTCCCGGTGGACGGGCCCTTGGCAAGTCGCGGTGCAGCGCCTGGCCGAGCAAAGTCAGCGCCGCAGCCCAGCGCTTGGCCTTCTCACAGGCGCTGATGGCAGCGCTGCACAGGATCACCTCAGATATGCCCAGCCCGGAAGCCTCTGGGGATTTCGTGGTCTAGGTCGTTTCCCCAAAAAAGCCCCCCTTTGGTGAGCCTCTTGCAACTGTGAAATCCATTGCTGGTCGTGTCCAAATGCAGCGCGTTTCTCCCAAGGTGGGCTTCTCAAGGTGAAAAAGGTAGCCCTCTGAATGTGGTTTCATGAACTGACGGCCATGTTGGACCCTCGGATGTCCGAGAAAAACTACATGGTTCAAGCCATGAACTTGGAGAGTTCATACCAAAGGTTCATGTCATATGTATTTACATGTGGGTGTATATATATATATATATGTAATATAAATACATACAAGCGTATGCATTCAGCTTGTCTACCCATTTAGGTCTCAGCGGCATCCACTTGAAGCCGCAGCACCTCGACCTCCGCCAGCAGCGCCAAAGCCTGCTGCCACTTGCCAGCCTTTTCACAGGCGCTGATGGCGGCACTGTAGAGGATCACGTCTCTCTGCACCTCTGGGCCCACGGGAACCACCCCAACATCACCCCGAGGAAACCTCACATTGGCATTCTCATCTCCTGATGCGTGTTCCCGCAAATGGTGGTTTCAAAGGAAACCACAACTTGAGAACCAACTCCCCAGAATGCCAGCCCGCTTGACGTTGGGCCCGCCTGCTGCTCCTGCATTTGCGTGAGCAGTGCCAAAGCATGCTGCCACTGCTCAGCGCGCTCGCAAGCGCTGATGGCCGCACTGTAGGAGATGACATCCCGGCGCACGGCTCCCAGCGCCATATCTCCAAAAAGGCCCAGGGCCGCATGCCACTGGGTGCCCCTGGCACAGGCACTGATGGCCTTGCTGCATGTGACGATGTCTCCTTGACCCTGGCATTGCGCATGCAGCAGCGCTTGCAGCGCTTTCTCCCACCGCGCATGCCGGGCTGCTGCCTCACATGCCGTTGGGACTGCCTTACGGCCCCGGCCCCGGCCCCTTATGGCCGGGCGGTCATGGCCGCTGGAAACTGGGCCACTGAGCCAAGCTGCCAATGCGCCATGCAAGCGGAGCAAAGGCCATAAGGTTCAGCTATACCTGGGTATGACCCCCTGTAAAAATAGGTAGTGGACACCACCTGCTGACATCACGCCAATGGAGGTCGGCTTGGCTTCATTGGTCCCTGCCTCTTCTGCTTGTCTCTTGGCCTCAGCCTCAGTCAAGGCCGTGCCAATGAGCCAAGATCTAATAACAAAAGGGAGCCCTCTGACCATCTTTAGAGCGGAAGCCACCGCACAAAAGAGGGGAAGAGGGTGAAAGCCACCGAACGACTGGCAAGCCAGCAGGGTCTTTTGTCTGGAGCGTACCCCTGCTTCGCCCGGTGCAAACCGCTTTCGCCTTCGGCGAAGCGCAGCCCTAATAATCTATGGCGACCAACCGCTCTTCGAGCGTCCAAAGTCGAAACCCGGTCACAACAGCCGGTACGAAAACTATGCTCCCATTGCTCCCCAAACCTTGATCTGGATCCTGTAAGGAACCGCAAGAACGACTGCCGGACCGCTATCTGCGGGTGCCAGCGCCTTCAGGTATTTTAGGTGGCGTTGACATGGTCAGGTAAAACCAGCAGAGCTGACAGCAATAAGAAGACAAGTGGTCCAAAAAGCCAACGTGGCGGCGGCGGAGAGGGATACGGAGGGCTCCCACGAAGTCGATGCTGGCATGCAAATCAGAGACTGCACGAGCCGACGTGCCTGGCTCTTACAAGACTCGGTGGCTGAATCCCAGGCACACCTTGGTTGCCCAGTCGTAGCAAAGGACGGGGCACACTTTCCAGGGCACACCTTCCGTGGGGAACCAGCCAACTCGATGCAGATTTCACTGGGAGTTGCTTGAACTTGTTTCCCTAAAACATGTGGACAACTAGCCCAAGCGGACTAGAGACTACATAGGCGACCTTTTGGACAAACAAATGGCCCTGGTAAATGGAGTGCAACCCATCCAGACCAGTGCCATCCATTTTTAAGCAAACCAACCGAAACTGGGTCCTCCAGTGGAATAAGGGCACCCTTTTTTCTGTAGCCTATTTTAGTAGAGGAACCCTCACCCCAAAAAAGAGGAGAGAAGGGCACTGGGGGACCCCAAAGACGCCTTGACCCAATCCCGGCGGAGGCACTCGCCGTTGCACCAGCTGGCGCCGTGGCCCCTGGGGCACTCCTGGCAGCTGGCGGCCAGGTGCTGACCGCAGGTCACCGCGCCCGGGAACTCCGAGCCTCCAGGCACGAGCCGCCGCTTCAAGAGCTGGCCCCATTGATTCACCACCAAAGTCACACCCGAAGTGGTCTCAGTTGCCCAAAGGACCCAGAAATAAAAGGTTAACCTGTTGAAGCCTTGACTAAAAATGGACCAAATCAGGGAAACCCAAAGGTCAAAAGGTCGGCTTTGGGCGACTGAGTGGTAGCTAAAAGGAAAACCACCCCCCAGAACCTCACTTTGAAAAGTAGCTGTTTCATGCTTCATCCTGGGACTTTAAAGGATGTGCTTCTGATCCTAGTTTTAGTCAGGGGCAAAAATGAAAGAGGACTCCACACGTTGACCCAGAATATCAATGTCATCCCCCTAAGTGGTAGCTTAATTTTAAAGGAAAACCACCCCCAGTTTCTGACTTTGATAACCCTTAGAAACCGATAAGTAGCTGTTTCTGATTTTGATCACCCTTGTAAGGGTGTTTCCTTTTGAAACAGTCAACATAATGACCCCAGTCAAACAAGGCCCGGCGACGGCATTTTCCACACAGCCTCTGCTTGGCTTTTCCGGAAAATTTGCTTGAAGCAAGGAGTAAGGATGGTCAAGGGTCTGGTTACGTCGGGTTACGTTCCAACGCATGTTGCCGGACCCTGCCTTTGACGCAGGTTGCGCCCGAGCTATCCCAGATGCACTCCCCGTTGCACCAGGCGGCGCCATGGCCTCAGCGCCGCTCTAGGGGTCCATGCGAGTTGCAGGAATTCCCTGAAGGGAAACCGCCAAGGGAAACCTCTTTGTAGCCCAAGGTGCCAAGGATTCAAGACCTTAGAGCAGGCCAGGTAGTGTGCAACCTAAAGTGGCAAGAAATAGCTGAAGAAACGACATGTGTCCAAACCTTGAAAAGAATCTGACAGGACCTGACCCTGTTGAAACCAAAAACTGCTGCTCACGCATTGCTACTGTTGCTGTTGAAAGTCACCTCCTTATTTGTTTAACTTTATTTCCCCGATGAAGGGCTTCATGATGCACCAGCATTTGCGGAAGTGCAAAAAAAAAAACAGCCTTCCAAAAGTGATTTCTGTGTTTTCTTCCCAATACTTGCTGCTTGAAGACTCCCAAATGCCTAGAACGTCTTCACTTTGGGCCGCCCTCGTCGAGCCTTGTGGGCACTGGCCACAGCTGGGCGCAAAGTGGCCCCCGCAGCTCACCGTAACCGGCGGGGGCAGGGCCGTGGGCAGCTGACTCTGGGCCTACGCCAACGCTTCAGCTTCCCATGGCACCCAAGTCACGGCGCTGGCAGTTGGCTCAGCTTCCCGGCGCAACCCTTACCCAATATCCTACCATATCCAAAAATCGATTCATGGAGCTTCTCAAAATGGTGGAACCTCTTTTGGCTACTTCAACAGAAACCGAAAGGACACCAAGCGTTTTGGAGAACCCCCAAGTTACCATTACAACACGGGAGCCAATGAAAACCATGTAACAACTCGCAAGCACTGGGTCGGGTTACTGGGGTCCCCTCTGCGGTGGGTTCCCAGCAATTGTTGTGGAAACTGGATTGGACAAAGGCAGACAAGAGAGGTTGCCAACCCCAAACACACCGATCCCAGTTTGTTGTCTGTTCTAGTCCCCCCCCCCAGAACTGTGTTTGCGGGATCCGCTGAGCGGCGGTGTGAATACAAGGGGCACGGAACTTGGTTCCGATTGCAAATCGCAACATTTGGGCACCATTGGGCACCTTTTCGCATGCATCAACGTTCGCCCGTTGCGCCTCCAGAGATACGGCATCCACCAAGTTGGTGGGGCATGTCTGGAGGATGCCCACCGTCAGCTCCGAGTTCACATTCAAGGACTTCTCTAAGGTTCCTCCTGGGTTTCAGCGACCAAAAGCATCACCTTAGGCAAATCACCATGGGGAAACCAGGGTACCCTTTTCGAGCAATTGGCTACTCACCTGCGATCTGTTTTCAGAAAAAGCAAAGATGACCCTTTTGAGGTTGTCCACAAGCACATTTCTTCTCCCACAAAATTGCATGGAACCTGACGTTCGGGGCATCCTGGGTTGGACCATGTTGTTTTGAAAAGGAACCCTCCGTCAGGTTCCACGTGAAAACGGTGGGTGGGCACTTCAACTGTAGGAACGGATGTACCAATTTGTTACCTTGGCAAGTGGAGCCAAAGACTAAAACCTCCGCCACCCTAGCCCTTCAACCATCATTTGCACAAGCCAGTGGAACAATTGAGAGCATGTCCAGCAGTGGTAGGTTCTATTGAAAACCGCCAGGGGAAGAGAAATACACATTCTTAAGCACCTGGAATAATTTTCGCCAGCCCGGAACACGCGGCCTGTGCGGATTGATTGCGCACCGGGGGCCCCCAGTCCTAGGCCCATCTCCCAGCGCTCGCCCGAAGCGCTGACTGCCCCGTTCACGTGGGTGGTGTCCTCGCTACGTGGCGCAGGCGCGCCGGGGCGTCTAGTTGCTCTCCGGTTTTCACAGGCAACCTGACGTCCGGGGGTGCCTTTACAAGAGGAAAATGGTCCAAATCTAGATCCCCCACATAGCTCCATGTTGGTGAAAGGGTATAGGTGACCAGGTGTTCGTTCCAGGTGTTGCATGGCTTCCCCTGGTTCAACCAACAATGGTCACTGGAAGCACCAGACGTGGGTCTCAAAGTGGGCCCTTAGCTGTGACATGAACCCTGGCTTTAGAATTTCAAAGTCCAAAGGCCATGCCCCAAGCTCAACACGGCACTCCCAAACACCCCACCTATTTTTTAGAGGAGTCTCCTTTTGGGGGGGACCTCCAAATCCAAATCGGTTAGCCCCCAGTGAACATCCGATTCAATCCAACCACTAAAATAGGTCCTAAAATCGGTGGTGAGTTCACCTACCAACCAAAATGGGATCCCATTGGTTTTGACCACCACGGCCATTTGTAACCACTTCCCCGAGGGTTCTCTTACGAATGGGCTCCAAAGCCTCAGCTTGGCTTGGAGCCAAGCTGAGTGCTCCGTTGGTTTAGCTAGGTCCTCCGGTTGAGAGGTTAGAGTAAGGGTACCCGAAGTCGATTTTAGCAGGGGAACCCTCCCCCCCAAAAAAAAGGTAAAAGGGCACTACTGGGGGACCTAGTTTAGGCAAGGATTGGGGGGTCGAAGCGATCCAAACCAAAGGATGAAATGAAAAGAAGCGTTCAGAATCCACAGCAGGCTTAGAGGTCTTCTCCAGAGAGACTGGCGCAAGGGTAGAATTGTGGTTCCTAAATGAACGTTCGGGGTCACATCTTTGGAAGGTGGCTTACACCAAGGCAAAAGTAGATATCATGACTCCCATTATGTGAGTGAGTGACTAAAGCCTCTGAGCTAGTTGATCTGGAATCCCACCTACCCCGAAAGCAGCCAGTTTCAACTACTCAGGTCTCCAGTGGATTGGCCCAAAACAGTCCAAACCTTTTGGTCACTAGAATGTTCCAAGTCCAAAACGGTTTGGAGTCCAACTCCGGGAATGCGTCAACTGGGCTGTCTTCAGATCATCAGAAAGCTTAACTTGTGGGTTGAATGGACCCCCAACCACTAAACCCCACGAAAAAAGAACCGAACTCAACCAAACACCAACCGGATGGAACCACTAAACTACAAAGAACGAAAAACCCAAGGGACCGGATGCCGGGGACCCTCTGACCACGCTAACCTAAAAAGGACACCTATGTGGAGAAGAAAAAACAGATTGCCCACTAAGTTCAACCCACCCGCCGGATTTCTTCACGGGTCGCCCAACCAAACATGTGAAACACCTATGGTCGAGTCCTCGTTTGCTGCCGCCCCATGGGACCAGCGCGCGGTCCGCAGCTGCGTCCACTGGCTGGGCTGTGCGCCGCTGAGACGCACGGCCGCGGGGCCGTATGCGGCCCAGCGCTCGTCGCCCACGTGGGCGTTGGTCCACTGCCTGGGGTCTGGGTCTGGGTCAAGGGGACCC